TACAGTGTACGTTTTATACGGCTTTCACGAGTTGGTATGTTTTAATCTGTGACGTAAACCTAGGAAATAAAAACCTATTCAATATTTTCGAATCTGTTGGAAGCTGTGTTGCATCCGGATTCTTAAAAGCATAAAAGCATTCAAATCATTTACATTATGTATTATTATTTTATTTAAAAAGCTCGTTTATTAAAAATTATTAAATTTTATGCGAAATATGACAACATAACCTAACATTTTTTGATCCGATTCAAAATTGTCTAAACAGATGTACATTAAATTTTTCATTAATAGGAAATTACTCATTGAAACGAACTCCTATTCAAAATGTTACATTCCGATAGCAAACATCAATAATAATGAATTCGCATATTCTTAAAACGTCTGATTCACTAAACGGTGCATTTAATAAGCTTTTTTTCCTGGGAACTGGGATGAGTTAGGATTCAACTTCATATTTCGTGTCAAATTTTTCAAAAGCACACATTTTGAATTTATGTTATCCAAAAATCCTCAAAGATGTCCATAATAAATTACAGGGAATTAGAAACTAGAAAAATGAAGCTTTATTTTCACGTAAGTTACATGCAAAATTCAAATGGGAGTGTTTTGAGATATCAAGAGGTTAAATATTTCAAAACGGAATTTCTTTATGAAATTGTGGGAAAATTAAGAAAAATGTTAAGACCAGTCGAAAAGTAGTTAAATTCTCTTTCGAAATATTGTGTAACATTATATAAATTATTTCTTTTTTTATATAGAAAAATTAACTTAAAAAACGCTCTGCTAGCGATCGTCTTTTGAAGGTGGAACGGTTTTAGATAGAAGGATAGAATGCCTCATTAATATATAAATAAAAATTAAAAAAGTGAAAACATGTCTCTTGATAAGAGACATATTTATTTATTATTATTTTTACATTATTTAATTTTTTTTAGAAACATGTGACAGAATTCAGAAAATAAATTTTTCAGGTTATGTTTTTGATTAATTTAACTATGCCTGGAAAATTTTACGTCAGTCTTCTGAGAATTATTATCATTATATATTATTTTATTAATGTAAAATAATATAATTGAGGACCCCGATTCTATAAAAGGCGCTCTACGCTTGAGGCAGCCGTCTTGCAACCAGTCAGGTGGTCCAAAAATGGAAAAAAATAAAATTCAAAATTAAGTTTTTTTAAAAACGCTCTCCTGTAGGAAATAAAAATCCTCACCTTTTTTTCCTTTAAGATTTTTTTATAAAACGAATATTAAAATTAATAAAGGCAAAAAAGTAGAAAAATTTTTTACGATAATTTAATGGACTTTTAAAACATAACTCGTCGTAATTTCGCCAAATATTGATGGATTTTTTTTGAAATTTGGTGCATTTTATTCATTTTATACTATTAAAGAAGACAATCATAAAAAAACAAAGTTTTTTCTTAAATATTAAGAAAGTTTTTCCAAAAGTTTGGAATTAATTCTCTTAGAAATAAAGAAGTTATAAGGAAAATGGTTAATTTGAAATTTTTTTATATATTCTTGTTTAAAAATAAAACAAGTGGAAAAATTTATGCAAATAAATTATTAACAATCATACGCTAAAATGTTTTAATTGAAGAAAGTCAATTAACTCTAGTTTCGACATAAGTGATAATTAAAACCACCTGCAGTAGGTAGTCAACAAATCGTTTTGCGAGCAAGTATTAATTATAACAAATCACTCAATGTCTAAATTATTAAACAAAAAATAATTATATAATAATAAAATGCTTGGTCTGTCCTTCTGTCCTAACTTGAAGTTGGCCTTTTCTGATTTCACGTGTTTTTTTGAATAGTAATCTTATGACGTGTCAAATTTTGACAATTCTTTTTCTCATTTTTGCCAAAGTTGTATAATTGTGTTTCCAAATTTCGGAATAAGTTTCTTTAAAATTCCAAATTCGAAAATTCAATTCACGAAGCTGATGTACACAACGTTTACCAACGAAATTTTTTTTAAAGTTGTATATTGATTCAAAAATTGTAAACGAATACAAAAAATTTATGATGAAGAAAAAAGATGCGCCAGGAAATTTCGTAATTTCGTAAAATTAATTTTTAAGGTACCAGGGGCCAACGAATACCTATTAAATATTAATTATAAAAACACAGGCCTCGAATCAACTTAAATACACAAAAAGTCGTTTTAGTCGATTTATATTCCAAAAAAATGGATTTGTTTTTTATTTTAACAAAAATATTTTACAGATTTTAAAATAAAATTTTTTTTTTTTAATAATACTTTTCGAAGGGTTAAAGTGGAAATTTTTAGAAATAATTAAATTTCAAAAGATATTGTTAATTTTCAAACAATTATTAAATTTTACAGAACTAAAAATAATTTATCAAACAATTTTTGGAAAACATTTTTTAAATTTAATTGAATTTTCAAAGATTTAAAATTGAGATTTTTGAAATTAATTGAAACTTTAAGTGATTTTTAATTAAAATTTTAGATGATTTCACTAAAAATTTATTAGAAAATGCGGACAAAATACAATAATTTGAAAATCATTTTTAATTGAAAAATGGTTTCAGATAGTTGAATTTTCAAAGAATATTATTAAAATAGTTAAAAATAATTGAATTTCCTTAGAGTTATAATTGAAATTATTAAATTTCAAAAAAAAAATTTTCGATGGAAAATTTTAGAAATAATTAAATTTTAGATGCTTTTAAATTCAAATTATTGAAAATTCAATTAATTTTGAATTCTAATTTTTGAGAATAATGAAATTTTATTTGATTTTAAATTTGGAAAATAATTGAATTTCAGTTCATTTTGAATTGAAAATTTTTGGGAAATAATTGAATTTTAATTGAAATTTTGGATAATAATTTAATTTAAGTTCATTTTTGATTGAAAATTTGGATAATTAATTTTGAATAGAAATTTTAGAAAATAATTGAATTTTATGTCATTTTAAATTGAAAACTTGGTAAATAATTAAATTTTAAATTGAAAATTTTGGATAATTATTGGATTTTTAATTGATTTTGAATTAAAATTTCGGGTAAGAATTGAATTTTAGTTTACTTTGAATTGAAATTTTAAAAAAATAATTCAATTGTGATATTTTTTTTTAAATTATAAACAATTGTTAAATTTCATAAAAATTTTAATTAAAAAATAATTTTGATATAATTGAATTTGTGATGTATTTCATTAAAATTATTAAAAATAATTAATTTAGTGAAGAATCATTTTAGTTCAAAATTTGTTAAATAATTGAATTAAAGAAGATCTGAAGAAGATCTACATTTTATACTAAAAAAATGTATTTTATTTACATTTTTTTTTCAAATGTAAAAAAAATGTCACATTTTATTAAAATAAGTCGATAAAAGTCGTATTTTTGAAAAAAGACGGAAGAAGTCGTATAATCCGAGGCCTGTAAACATATAATTTTCAATATATATTTCAATTCTAATAAATTAAATTATTATGAATAATATTAATCTTTAATTTCTTTATAACAAATATTTAAATATTCAATTTGGCGCGCTTGCGCGCGTTTAATTTTGCTAGTAACAATTATAAAATATTATATAAAAATTTGAAAGAATCACTCGGTGTACAAGTTAAAATTATTATGTAATCAATGTAAAGACCTAAAAAAGATGTACATAAAATAAAATAATAATAATGATGATAATAATATATAAAATTAGAAACATTTTAGAAATTTAAAAACATTACATTATTTACATTTTATTACAATAATATAATTTAACGAATAAAATATTTTGAATATTAAATTAAAAATTTTACCTAATTTAATTAAAATTATCATGGTTTTTTAAATTATTTTCTTTAACTTACCGAAAATTCACAATTCACTTAAAATTGAACGAATAAATTGAAAACTCCATCATTTTTAAATATTCTTCATTTTTGGTTGTAAGCAAAAAAAATTTTTTTTTTTTAATTTGAAAATATGTAGGTATGTAATTGACAATACAAAATTGTTTATTTTATTAAACGTTATTTTATCAGAATTATACAACATCAATTGAGACTCATATTGCATTGACTCAGGAAGATGTTCTCACTTTACGGTATACTCCTGTAGTCAATATTGACAAATTTCTTATACCAAAGACAAACTAAAAAGTTTATTCTTCGTCAAAGGACAATTATTATTTATAATTTTATACCATCTTCTTTTATGGTGATCATAAACGGAAACTGGTTTTCTTCAATATGTTTCTTTGCAACTAAACACTTTCCACTCTCACCTTTATACTTTTCTGCATAATTGAAAGAGATATATAATTAACTTAATTTACTAAAATTTCATATTATGTTTATTTACTTTTTCTTTCAAACTCTTTTATCCTAAATTCTAATTAACAAAAAAATTTATTAAAATTAACAAAACAATACAATGCGATAGTAATTTAGAATTATATAACGAATAATATAATGTATAATAAATACTATAAATATTTAGGACGTATAATACGGTATAATTTCTAAAAATCATTAGTTATAATTGTCATTTTATGGAATTTCATTTGTTATAATTATTTTTGAGCCGAATTTTTATTTATTCGAATAAGTATTTTGCAGAATTTTCATCAAAACGATTTTCTATATTACAGAATTTTTATATTAACTGAAAATTCACTTCACTGAATTTTTATTTGTCAGAATTTTTATTTGCACGAATTTTCATTTAACATAAGTAATAGGCAAATAAAAATTCTGACAAATAAAAATTCTGTGAAGAGAATTTTTGGTTATATAAAAATTCTGTTAAACATAGAAAACTGTTTTGATTAAAAATCTGTAAAATACTAATTCAAACAAATAAAAATTCGTCTCAAAAATAATTATGACTTAATAAAAAAAATTCGAAAAATCATGGAGCTCATTTTTTTAATTACAAGAAGATAAGAAAAACTTAAGGCAAATTAAAAAGAAAGGAAAGGAAGGAAAAATTATATAATAATTCCATTCAATGAAAATGTGAAATTATTGTTTTTATTTCAATTCACCTAAAAATTCTTATATAATAATCGTGTAGTAACAATATTTAATAACAATGATGATAATAACAATTTTGAGCTTTTTTTTCTTATTTCTCATTCCAAAATATATAATTGAATAAAACTTGAAATTATATAAAGGTAGAAAAAAATTTCATTACAAATATATTGCACAATAATGCAAAAAATGGTCTTAGACACAAAAAATTTTCGACGTTAATATTTATTGACACAATAAAAAAACAATATTTTTAATATTTGAAAAAACTACTAAACAATACTTGGCAACTTTCAATCGAATCTTTTATCATTTGGCGTTTATTTTTCTAATATGTATAGATAGTGAGAGAAATATTTATAAAAATTCAAAGCATATTGATTGCAATAGGTATAAGATTTTTGGATTCTAAAATTTCGTTTGTAGATAACTACATTTATTTCTATTTTTTGTAATATATGCGCGTATGTATTTTACGATTTTGTTAAAAATTTTCTATCTTTCAATCTAAATACAGTGGGTTTCAAAAAAAAAATTTTTTCGTCTCGTTTTTTTTTTTTTTTTTTTTATTCTGAAGTTAACAATTATCCAAAATAAAAGAAAATTTAGAGAAAGAGACCAAAAAAAAATTTTTTTTTTAAACACCCTAGTGTTGAAGCAAGGCTATTCCATTACAAGTTTTGCAATTTTTATTTTCGTCTGAAAATGCAAAATATTTTTTATAATATATATAAATACGTTATGCGTTTGTTTGATTTATAATTTTGTGCAGATTAAAATTATCCATTAAAAAAAAAATCACTATGGAACTATTGAGCAAAACTTAAATTAATGAGTAATAAATTGAACTTTGGTTTTGAAAAGTAAATAAATGAAAAAAATTTTTGTTAAAAATATAAACAACAATTTTCAAAATTTCCTTATTATAAAATATTTTTCTACATGTTCACTGCAAATAAAATAAATAAGTAAAAATATGTCTGATATTAATCGAACTTATAAAATGTTAAATTCAATTGAAATAAAAAAAAGAACATTGAGAATTTTAATAAAGATTCATTAAAATAATTAAATTCTATTAATTAAAAAAAAAATAATTACAAACGAATAAAAAAGTGAACACATATACAAAAGTAATAAATCGGTTGGTACATATAATAATTTAAACTTAAATTTAAGGGAACAATATTCACAGCAAGAAATTTTTCTTAAAAGAAACTTTAAATTTTCAATAACAACTATAATAAGCAATCGATTAGTTTAAACCCCTTCATTATTATTAAAATTAAAAATATATTATTACCAGTGACATATTTTTTTCTTTTAAAAACCTATAAAAACAAAATAAGATAAATTATTCTATGATAATTAAACAACCATTTGAGAAAAAATCATTAAAGTTAAATGATAATATACGAAAATATTTAAATAAATTATAAATAATAATATAAATAAATTATTTTTTATAGAAAGCACCAATATTAAAAAGTTAAGTCTTGATTTAACCAAAATTGTACAGCGAAAATATATAATTTTCTGTGGAAAATTTTCCCACTATTGTGACTGTTTATTAAATATTTTCTATTTTATTTACGCAGCTTCTACTTTTTTTGATTTGCTATAAAAGTTTAGGCAGTTTAAAAGATTCAAAAACTTCTGGTGTATTTAATTTTTTTTTTTTTTTTCATTATGGCACCTATTATTTATTATTATTATTGTGTTTGCGTGCATACTGAAATTTTTTTTTAAAAATCTATTTTTTCTATTCAATAAATGGTGTTCTTTTCTATCACGTACGCATTTAAAAAATGGTCCTAAAGCTAAGCTTTCAACCTGATATGCTACTTTATGAGTTCTTTTACGTATTAAAATGGGAACATTATATCAAATCTTGATCAAATTCTCCAACTAAGTACACACTTTCTTTTTTTAATGAATTCTCAGTCATTCCTTTGTCATTTTGTAACGCCTATAATAATAAATATTTTATATTATTTATCAATCAAGAAATTTTTCTTTTTTTCTTCTAATTAGTTTAAACATATAATTATTCTGAATTATATATATAGTTATTTTATTATTACAGTGTTGCCACAAGAATAAATTTTTTAATTTCCTTCACATTTTCCTAACTTTAAAAATATTAATTGAATAAAATTAATAAATTATAATAGATATCTAATAATTGAGTCACTCCAGCAAAAATCAAATCTAGATATTTTACCCAATAAACGAAAAAAAAACAACAAATTTTAGGACTTTTTTTATTATTTTATTTGAAATTATTTTTTTTTAAATTCGAATAAATATTTATCTTTCGTTTTTTGCCGAAAAAAGTGGTTTACATATTGAATTTTTTTCAAGAGAAAAAAAAGTTTCAGTCTTTAGATACATTAAAATTTTATTAATTTTAAATTTCGAATAATTGAATTTTCTTTTGATTAAAATTTTAATGAATTTTATTTTGACCAATAAAAATTAGAATTGATTGAAAGTTGTATGACTTGTTAAAATTTTGATTGAATTGAAATTTAAATGGATTAAAATTTAAATCAAATAAAATTTAAGTCATTTAATTAAATTGAAATTTGTATGAATAAAAATTTAAACAGATTTAAATTTGGGTAAATTGATTATTAAAAGGTTAATTAAAATTCGAATGAATTTGAATTTATATTGATTACAATTTTAATCAATAAATACTTCAAATAATTTAAATTTAGATTTATTGAAATTCTACCAAAATAATTTTTAATATGAAAAATTTTGATAAATTCCAGTTCGGATCAATTGAATCATTTTATGTCCTCTAAATTAATATATAAGTTCAGGAATAATAAAAATTATTCTTTTAAAAGTAATAAATTATTTTTCAACATTCCTGAGAAAATCGGTGAAAAATTATAAAAAAAAAGGTAAATAGGTGATAACAGAAAAGATATAATTGACTTTTTCTGTAAATTTCTTTAATTTTTCAAATTTCTTCGACAAAAATATTTTTTTTCCTCACTTTTCTAACTTGTGGCAATTCTGTATTATAATATTAGAATTATTATTTTAATATTACGTACCTTATTTTTGAAGAATGAAGTTTAAGAAATTTTTTAAAATTCCCAAGAGGACAGAGACGACGTCCAAGCGGTGACAACTGTCCACGATGGAAATTGTGATAAAAATCGTTTAAATCTCAAAGAAGTTTGATGTTCTCCGTGCATAAAATGTCCAGAAGCAGACAAAGTCATACAAGGACCTTTATAATCTGGCGGAACCTGTTAAAAAAAAAAAAACCAATTAACCTTAAAAAAATTTCTATCGTTAATAAAATTTTTAAAAAAAATCTTACAATAAACTCCAGTGAAAAACTAAACGGAGAACAATTCGAGGCACATGCGAAATAAATGAAATAAGTTTCCCGATCATTCCACATTGGTCCAAGTAGTGGTTTTTCCTTGAGAACAGACCAACGTTCCAATTGAATTCCCTTATAAGGTGAAAAAATTATACTAATGTGATCAGGTCCTGTAAATGAAAATTTTTCAATTAATTTTCCAATTAATTTTCCGTAAAAATAATTTAAGTTTAAAATTCTTTTTTAATAATAAAATTCTACCTGTGACATTGAATACATAGGTAACTGTTGTTCTTTTCGTACTTTTTACCAACATATCAACTTTAGTTGGAATACTTATCAAAGGTGCAGGTCCTGGAATCCAACTTGTTTTCCTGGTTTAAAAAAAAATTTAATAAAAAAAAAAGATTTTTCATTTTTTTATGCAAAAAAAAAAACAAAAAAAATGAGTTTACCATAAAAATGTTGTGACTGGCAACAGATAAGGAAAACCGCAATATAATTCTTCCTTGCAGTCTTTTTCCGTTGAAATTGCAGCACCTATTTCAGGTACTATTGCCTCAACACTTTGAGGACTATTCATGTCTAAATTGACTATCCAATATCCAGTTCCTGAATGTCGAAGAGTACCATTTGCATTATAAAATTGTCTTTCAGTATGCTAAAATTAATAAAAAAAAAATTTACATTTTTTGTAGTACTGAAAATCATAATTACGAAAGGGCAAATTTAATTTTTCTAAGTCCATTTACATGTAAATAAATAAATAATTAGAAACTTGGAATATTTGAAGCGCATGATTATCCCATAAAAATAATTAATTAGAATTTTTATTTTAAATTATTTTACTAGAAATAATTATTTTTCAGACGAAATTTTCAAATTCAAATTTGATCGGTTTTCTTTTTATACGAATTTTTACATAACAAAATTTTTAGTTACCGAATTTTTATTTTACAGTCATTTTCGAATGTTTGTACGAATTTTTAATTGATAAAATTTTTAAGATGACAAATTTTATTTGACCGAAATTACAAATGACCAAAGAAAACATCGACAGAAAGATTTCGGCGCAATTTATAAAATTGATCAATTAGAAATTATCAAGAATACTTTCTAATATCTTTCTGTCGATTGTTTGTTCGCTCATTTGTAATTTCGGTCAAATAAAAATTTGTCATCTTAAAAATTCGAATCACATAAAATTCGATTGAAAGAAAATTCTATTAAATAAAAATTCTGCCAAACAAAAATTTGGTAGCTAAAAATTTTATTAAATAAAAATTCGTATAAAAATAAATTCTGTCAAATGCTAATAAATTGAAAAATGAAAATTCGTCTAAAAAATAATTATTTCTAATAAAATTCTTTAAAATGAAAATTCTAATTAATGATTTTTATGTGATAATCATGCGCCACGAAAAATTTATACCATAATCATAAATCGCTCAGCTGCTGGTGACGTTGGATCACCACTATAAGGAAATCCAAGAGGTGTTAAAATTAAAATTCCAATTGATATTAAAAATATACCCATTAAGACACTTAGAACTCTTTCTGCATTTCTTATCAATAAAACAATTGGCAGCTGAAAGAAAAATTTCACATTAATTTTATAATAAAGAAAGTTAAAATAATTTTTATTTTTATTAAACAATGAATTGTTTATTATTATAATAGAAAAAAATTGTTAATTACCACAAAACTTAACAGTTGACAGAATAACAAAGACACCATATTGGCAATTACAACTTCAGAATTTATTCCAGCACCCGCTCGTCCCATAATTGGAATAAATAAAGAAAGTGCACCAATGGCTAAATAAAATGTTTGTATATAGGGTAAACATAAAATTCCCAAATTATAGCACATCCATTTCCAGTCTATAAAAATAATAATTTGGTTGTTTTCTTTCAACTCATTAACAAAATATTCTTTATAAATTAAATTATCATTTATTTTTACCTCTCCATCTATTAAGAAAATTATGTCGAATTATATTTCCAATTGAGGGAAATAAAACCCAATGAAATGGAATAAAACCTGAACGAATTTCCAAAATTACACAAAGAAAGAGAATAGCCATCCAAATAACGCTGTAGGCATCGCAATAAAGTTGATATAAAACCCAAGGTGAATTAACATTCTATAAATGAAGAAAACAGAAATAATTAATTTATAAGTAAAATTTCTATATGTAACTAATTTTAAGAATTTTATCAAAATGGAATTTTTATTGATGTACAAAATATCAAAACCAAACAAAATTTCCAATATTATTAAGGTGTCCAGAAAACTAATGAAAATTTTTTAAATTAAAATTTGGTCAAATAAAAATTTTTCAGATGAAAATTACGCGTTAAATTAAAATTGGGTTATCAAAAAATTTGATTAAATTAAAAATTGATTTTAAATAAATTTTAAATAAATAAATAAATAAATGATAATAATTTTCGAAGGGTTAAAGTTGAAATTTTTAGAAATAATTGAATTTCAAAAGATTTTGTTAATTTTTAGACAATAATTAAATTTTACAGAACTTTTAAATATTGAAATTTTTTAGAATAATTGAATTTCAAAAGATTGTGTTAAATTTTAGACAATAATTATAATAAGAGAAATTTTTAGTGATTTCTGTTGATGAAGAATTTATTAGAAATCATATAAAAATATTGAATTCCAAAAGTTTTTAATTGAAAAATGGTTTCAGATAATTGAATTTTCGTAGAATATTATAAAAATCATTAAAAATAATTGAAATTTTTTAAAATACTTAAATTTCAAGTGATTTTGAATTAAAAATTTTTGGTAATTCTATTTGTTAATTTTTTTTTTTTGAATTATAAACAATTATTAAATTTCATAAAAATTTTAATTGAAAAATAGTTTAAGGTAATTAAGTTTGTGAAGAATTTCATTAAAATTTCATTAAAATTTCATTAAAATTTCATTAAAAGAATTTTGATGAATTTAAACTTACTTGACGTTGACGTTTTCCAATGTAGAGGAGAAAAGTCATAGATACTGTAACAGTAGGACAAACATAAAGGAAAAATAGCCACGCTGGTCTCGCATACCAACTCATGACTTTGCCTAATTTTGTAAGGACTAAAGCTATCATTGAAACTGAGATCATTGAAATGACCCAAGAAAATATCACAGCCGATACGCAAAACATCAATTGCCTCACGTACATTGAATTTTTTACTTCTATAAAAGAAAAAATTAAATACAAATTATTATTTTATGAAAAAAGCCCCTCAAAAAAAAAATCTATTTTTAAAAATAAAATCTCACCTTTTCGTGCGTACTCCATATTTAAATAAATAGAATAAATTCCTATTAAAATACCAATAATATTAACAATTGTTGCCACATAGGGTGGCCAACGAATAACAAATGCCCCCAAAAAGTCAAAGAAAACAAGACTTCCATCTGATTTTTGAGCATCGGAATCTGGTAAATAATGACTGTCAGCTATTCCTCGAGCTAAGGCAAGAATATTATCTCCTGTTCTTTGGAGAGAACCTAATGGTATTTGATAAACTGTATCAAATCTTGTGTGATACACATAACCATTTGTTGACCAAGCAAAATCGAGACCTAGAATGTTTTTTTTTTAAAATATTTTAAAATATGCGAAACCTTTTACTGTTTAATGGATTATTAATAAAGAATTTTTAAATAAATTTTTAGTTTCTTATTTCTACTTGACTTGGGAAAAATAATTTTTTTACATTTATCAGTGTGTCTAACAACTGCTAAGAAAAAAATTCCACTAACTTTTCCCCGACCTAAATTACACTAAAAAAATTTTATTTTGATGAAATAAAATTTATTTTGATAAAATTAATTAATCATTTACCTGTCTATTGTCCACTAATTTCATATGTTTTTGAACCAAATAAACAATGTTTCGTAAAAAATAAAATATTTAAGTAAAATAAATAAACTAATTGTGAATGTATAAATATTCTCAACATTGAATTTAAAAGAATTTTTACGGCGGGCAAATCTTAAATTATCAAATTTTTATTTAGTAAAATTATATTTAAAGCAGATTTTCTAGTACATTCGAATTTCAAATTAATACAATTTCAATTTAACGGAATTTATGTGAAGAAAAAAATTTTTAACTGAATTGTTATTTTAGTAAATTTTGATTTATCAAAATATTTACTTAACAGAATTGTCATTGAATAAATCAACAATTAACAGAATTTCTATTTAACAAAGTTTTTATTAAAGAAAATTTTAATTCGAACTAATTATTATTTAACAGAATTATTATTTAAGAAAAATTCTACTTAGTTCTTTTTTTTGTCAAATTTTAATAGACATAAATTTCGTTAAATTAAAATTATATTAATTTAAAATTTTTTTAAAAAGTATTAGAAAAAATGCTTTATAAGAATTCTGCTAAATATAGAAATTAAATCGAATTTTAGTTAAATGTAAATTGAAAATTTTGCATAATATAAAATCCACTTTATACAATTTTGCTAAATAGAAATTCGATAATTTAATATTCGACGACGTAAAAATTTTTATAATTTAAATGTGGGTATTAGCATTAAATAATAAATTATTCGTATTAATGAATAATTTACTTTATCTGAAGTTTAACCGATAAAGTAAAATTGTATCAAATTATTTTTTATTTTTATTAAAAAAAAACCAAATATTTCACTGAAAAAAATTAATTAATTGTTATCCAAATTTAAAAAATCATTTATTAGATTCCATAAATAGTAGTAAATAAGTATTTACTTAATGAATATAAAATATATCACATGCTTAATAATTGAGTGCGAAGGCCAACTTTTAAATTTGCATTTGCTTTGGGAAAAAAGTAAAAAATTTTTTTAAACTAATAGTTACTTTAATTTTTTTTTAAATTCCAGAAAATTAAAGAAATTCCCTGACTTTTCTCTGACCATTTGAATTCCCTGACGTTCTTGGTCGTTAGACACCCTGATTTATATTATTATTATCATATTAATATGAAAATTTTGTTAAATAACGATTATTAATTTAATAATTACCAGATACATTTCCAAAGTCTCTGAAAATGCGAAAATCTGTTTCTCCAGGTACAATGCCACTTTCAAAAATTTCCTGTGCCAATGACGATGCATATGGATAGGGAACTGTTTGTGAATAAACCTCAAGAATCCAAGGATTTCCAGGTCCAGCTTGAAATAAAAGTTCTCTACCACCAGCACCACAAGCTTCCAAATTGATAAATGCTCTCACTTCTTTTGCCCATTGATGTTGTGTAATAAAACCATGCGATGCCTAAAATAACAACATTTAATCTTTTATAAAAAAAAAAAAACAATTAATTTCTAAACAAAAATTTTCTTTTTTTTAAAAAAAAAACCAATTCTCGAAAAATTCTCACCTCCAATATATTTTCCTCAGCGCCATTAAATAAAAATATAATGTTATTTTTTAAAAGTTTGGGACTTCGTGTCATAACTCTTAAAACTTCGAGCATTATTGCACAGCCAGCGGCATCATCAGAAGCACCTGGACTTTGTACTGATGAATCAAAATGACAATTTATCAATAAACTATGTTTCGATGGCCTTTTTGGACCAAGACGAACAATAACATTTTGAACATTTTGATAAACATTTGTGAATCCATCTAAAAATGTTAATGGAAATGCTCCACTATGTTTTGTAACGTCTAAAATTATTTTATGATTTTCATTTGCCTCATGAATAATATTATTAATTGTTGTTGTTAAAAATTTAACAGCCAACACTTCATTCTCATAACTTCCAGTGACACGTGGTCCAATGTTTGTTAAATTAATAATATGAGCTCGCGCTCTTTCGGCGACAAATCGTTTTGGATATAAACCTTCTGATTCAATTAATTGTGGTTCAGGTAAAATTCTCTCCAAAACAATAACAATTAGAGAAATTGATAGGAAAAATGTTAATACAAATAGTAAATGATGTGTTCCATTTGGCAGTGGATATAATTTTTTTGGAACATGCTTCACACTATAAAAACTCTCCTCTAGCGATCTTCTTGATAAATGCTGTCGTTGCCTCACACCGTCTTTCTGAAATTTTTATTTTATAATTAACAAAAAAAAAATTGTAATTATTTTCTTTTAAATAAATAAATTGGAAATTTTGTTTCATTCTTTTTTAATTTATTAAATAAAAATATTTTTTTTTTAAATAAAAAATTAAAATATATCCGAGAACTTCAAAAATTTTTGAAACCATTTCAAAAATATGAGGCAAAAGTTTTGAACGTACAAATGAACGAAATTTTTTTGCAACTTCTTTAAGTACGAATTTTAATACAAAATATTGTTTTAAATATCTAAAAAGAAGTTATTAATTTATTGTTTTATTTTACATGACCATCATAATTTTTAATAATTTATTGATTGAAAAAAATATTTCGTTCATTTGAACGTTCAAAACTTTTGGCTCATCTCAAAAATCGATAGTTTAATTTTGGAAATTTTAATTATTTAAAAATAATTTTGGTTTATAACAATTATGAATTAACATTGCCACATCACCTAAAATTACTTCAATATTGACAATATTAATGAAAATTTAAGTACAGTATAATGTTAAATAGTAAGCAAATTAAGAAGGTAAAAAAAGGTATTAATTATTTCGACAATAACCTTATTAAATAAAAATCCATGTATTTTGCGTTTTAGCATCAGAAATATTTATTTAAAAATCATTAAATAGAGAACATTTAATATATAAGTTTAATAAATATAAAAAAAAATTAACAAAAAGTCAATAATTCTCTTAACTTTAATATAGGTTATGCTCAATAACAATGTTAGATTTATATGCATCATGTTAAATTAATAAAAATTATACTCACCATTGTTCTTGTTTCTTTTCATGGAATACAAGGCACACACTATTAAAAAGAAACGATCAATTTTAACATTGAAGTAATAGTTTTATTACATGAATATGTAAGGACAACGTGTGAGTGTAACAAAAGATAAAATGTTGTAGCAGACAGTGTAGCAGACGAAAAAAAAATTTTGCCAATTTAACTTCAAATTTTTTTTTACTATTTAAATTAATTTTTATATCCATCAATTTCAATTTTAAAGAAAAAGGAAAATTTTTTAAAAATTTAATTCACAAAATAAATATTAAAAATAGATGTAAACATTTGTGAAAGAATAATATTTATTTAGCAGACGACAAAAAAAATATATATGTCATAGTGACAGCTATACATATCAACTAATAAATATTAAATTTTTCTAGTAATCTATTATTTTAATAATTATTTTTAAAAAAATAATTCACTTGTCAAATCTGTAAATAATATTTTTATGCACATTTTTTAATAAAATGAAATATATAATTATAAAAATTTTAATACGCGTACCTTTAATTATATAAATAAGCCTTTCTATTCTTATCACAATAGAAAATAATCACAAATGAACTTTGGAAAATATTAGTAAATTACAGAACCTTATCTATTGCAATTACTCGAAAGTTTTGATGAAAAAATATAAAAAAAAAATTAAATCAAAAGATTCAAAGTTCAAAATTCACTTACAATAGGAATTTGCTTCACATATAACTTAAAATAAAATTAACATAAATTAATAATTAAGGAAAAAAATAATATTCCGCTAAAATTTCAAATAGAACATAATCGCCATCTGAAGACAAAAATTTTAGTTCGTGACTTCGTGAGTACCTTTTTGCTATCCTTGTCTAATGTACGTGTTACCGTGGCAACGTGAGAGTAAGACAATGACAGAAGCGAATGACATAAAACGAAAATCAAAAATAGTTTCAAGTTGTCAAAAGTTAGCTAATGATAAAAACTACCTAAATTACATAATTAATACCCATTTTTTTTATTTCATTTAATATAAATTTATTAAATAATTTTTTTTTTTTATTGTTATTTCAAAAATTGCGGGTAAATGACTTATTAATGCACATGCGCATTAATAAGCAAAAGCCCTTGTAATATAGCAGACGACAAGCAGACGAGATTACACTGTCGGCTGCTTGACAATAAGAAAAAAAAAAAATATTAGTCATAAGCAGTGCGTGTGTGTTGTACACAACCTCGATCAGAGGTTGTTGTTTTTTTTTTAAACAAAAATATATTTATATTTAGTGTAATTTTTATTTGCATAAGTGTCATTTGGAGAAAACAGTGGTAAACATGGATCCCGAGGCATTCCTTGATATGGCTAATCAAGTCATTAAATTAAAAATGTTCCCTTACTTCGACATCGCTAACTGTGTACTTTGCGCGCTGCACGTCAAAGAAGATTTAGGACCCGGTAAGCCCACTGGGATGATTCTAATTTTAAAACTCCACTGAGCTTCAACACCGAGATAGCTCTCAAGCCTCTGCCATGGCAATATTCTATTCCTAATTTAGAATTTTATAAAACGAAATTACTTTCTTACTTTTTTTTGTATTACTTTCTTCCTTTTTTTCATTACTTTCAAATGAAATATTTTTCATAATTTCATCAATTTTTTTCTTTGACAGTATATTAAGTATAAATATATAGAATTTTAATTTAATTTTGATGGTAAAATAAATTTTTTTCTCTTACTATTGTTGTTCTTTTTTTTTAAATAATTGTAAATTTATACTGTTTGGAACTTTTCAATATTTTTTTCCTCCCTAAAATTTCTGGCATTATTGTTATTTATCAATAATAGATTCGATTAGATTTATATTTAATTTTAATATCGATGTAAAATAAAAAATGGTAAAAAAAAACAGTTTAATAAAATATATAATTTTTTTATGCACTGAAAAAGTTTTTAAAGTATATATTATTTGCAAAAATATATTTTTTTTGAACATTTAAATTAAAAAGAAAATAAAAACTTTAGAAAAAAAAAAAATTGAATATTATTATAATGTCAAATTGTTGGAAATTCACCAAAAATATCAAAACAACACGTGCATTTTTGGCAGAATTTGTCTGTCGTCCCTGCTGTAAAACCTGGGCTATTCTATTTTTGTAAATATCTTAGAATTTATAATCACATTTTTGATCAAAATTTATTTTGTAAAATTATACTGTCAGAAAATTAGAAATTTGCTTTTTTTGAAATTTTTCATTATTTCCATTTTATATGACTAATTAAAAACACGTGATTATCATTTTGACAAATGCTTTTTTTTTAATTTAGTAATTCTTTACCAAAAAATAAAATTTAAAGGATTTTACAAAAAAAATTTCAAAAGTAAATCAGATTATAACGTTACAAGAAACAAAAATCTCTATTTCTATATAAAAAAAAGGTAATAAAAACATTTCTTCACCTTGACAATGTTCATCGAAGCAAAACACTTTCGAAATTCTGTTCTTTTTATCAATGTAAATTTTTTGTAAAGATGAAAAATCAATATTAAATATATTTAAATTTTGTAAATTAAAAATTTGAATTTTTTTTTTTTTAATTTTCTGAAATATTTCTTTAAAATAAGGTAAAAATTTGATAAAATTAAATGTAATTTAATTTATTTAAGGAACGTTATTACATTTAATTATGTATAGTTTTTAGGTACAAGTCAATATAATATGCTAAGTAATAAAAGTATAAATTTGTTTTCAATTATATAAAACGAATGATTGCTCTAGATTTGGAAAATTACTTTTAATTCAATTCATATTCTTTACAAATAAGTAAAACAATCAATAAAGTATCGAAGGAAATAATCAATATATATATATATATATATACTTTTAAGAATAATTTTTCTAAGGTAAAAATATGTAACGTTCAGAGTAATCACCCTTCAATTTTACTTCCGCCCTCTCATGCATGTTGTCAATATTTATAAGGTTTCCTATTGACCTATTTTTTATTGTACATTGTGTTTATGAGTTCAATATTATGGAAATACATGTTTTTCAAAATCGATTAAAACAAGAAAAAGTTAATTTTTTTCTTCAAAAACTCTTTTTTTCTGCGTTTATTGCACTTTTTTTAAGAAAACTTTTTTTTTTAGAAAATCCATAAATTTACAAAAAAAAATATGATTTTTATAAATTTTTGTTATTTACAGGGGCTCATGCATTTTCCAGAAAACATCCTTTATCATGTTGGCTTTCCACAATGTTGGTTGTTTTTGCCAGTGGAATGCTGTGCAATGGATTATTGGGAGAACCAATTTTAGCACCATTAAAAAATACACAACAAGTTGGTCTTGCTACCATTGTTTGGTTAGTTATAACCTGAAATAGAAAATTTTTATTAAATTAATTTTTTTATTAATTTTAAATAAATATTAAAAATCCAGGCCTCTGTAGGACTTTTTCCAAATTTTTTTTTTTCAAAAATGCAACTTTTTTCAAATTACATATTTTAATAAGGTGCAATTTTTCCAATTTTTTTTTTTACACTATTTTTTACAAATTCTTTTTTGAAAAATACGACTTTTTTTTGAGTATACAATGCGATTCTTTTAAAATTTAATTATTTATAACTAAAATTCTTCACTAAATTAATTATATTAAATAATAAAAAAAATTCTACAAAAATGCAATTACTTATCTGAAAATATTTTTCAATGAAATATTTTTAAAAATTCAATAATTAAATTTTTTAAAAAAACAATTTCAGAAAATAAAATTACCTAAAATTTTAATTCAAAATCTCATGAAATTCAATTATTTCTAAAAAAAAATCTGAACTTAATAATTAATAATAATTTAAAATTTTTAACTAATAATTTCCATCCAGTTCTTCAAGAAATCAAATTATTTAAAACATTTTTTTAATTAAAAATTCTGTAAAATTTAATTATTCACATAAATTAAAAAATTTGATTAATTGAAATTTTCAAAAATTTCAATTTCAAATCTTTTTAAATTCAATTACTTACTTCTAAAAATTTTAACTTAAAATCTTTTAAAATTTAATTATTTTTAATTAAAATTTTCAATATAAAACATTCTGAAATTGAATTATTTCTAAAAATTTCAATTATAATTCTTCCTTTTAAATGGTCTTTCGACTGTGAGCTCAATATCTTGTTACTAGTAAAAAAAAAAAAAAAAAAAAATTCTTTCAAAATTTCAATTGTCAGAAAATTAAAAAAAAACTATAGCAATTAAATTTTTGCAACAATTGTATTTTAATTTAAAATCTTTTGAAATTCAATTATTTAAAAAAATTTTTATTTCAATTATAATTCGTCGAAAATTCTTTTAAAATTTCAATTGTCAGAAATTAAACAAAATAATTTAAATTTGCAAAAAATGATTTTAATTTTAAATCTTTCGAAATCGAATTATTTAAAAAAAAAATGTCATTAATAACTTTTTAAAATTTAATTATGGTCCAACATTTTTTTTTGTTTATTTAAACTAAAACCTAGGCCAATAATCTTGAATTCGAACAATTTGCTTAAATCAGATTTCAAAAATATTGTAAAATAGAACATTAAAAGTTTTTTTTTTGAAATTTGTCCTACTAAATTAAAATTTTTAAAATTTGTCTCTTCGATTTTGAAATATTCGAAATAAATTTTTTTTTAGAACATTTCTATAGTATTCTTATTAATTCATTAATAAAATTAATTTAATACCTAATAACAATAGTTATTTGAATTAAAATATTTATTAACCAATTAAATTTATTAAAAAAAATAAAAAATGGATTTTTTCGACTTTTCTTGAAATTCTAATCGTCTAAAACGACATCTTTTGCGCCTTAAAGTCAATCCAAGGCATAAAAATCGATAAAAAATTAAAAAATTTGTAAATTTTATTTTTAAAATTAATTTAGATTTAAACTATTCTATTTTATATTTTCGACGTATCACTTTCGATATACTTATTTTATGAATTATAAAATTTTTTTTTTTTAGGTACATAATATTTTACACTCCTTTTGATATTGGATATAAAATTGCTAAATTTTTACCTGTTAAAATTATATGTTCTGCTATGAAAGAAATATACAGGTATGTAGCAAAAGAAGAAAAACTAAAGACAATGTCTTGCAAAATTATTTAATTACGCAATAAAAATTCTTTTTTATTATAGGTGTAAAAAAGTTTACGATGGTGTATCTCACGCTGGAAAATTATATCCAAATGCATATTTAATAATGATTCTCATTGGAACGCTCAAAGGTTTGAAAAAAAAAGATAAATGTAATTATTATAATAATGAAAAATTGTGTAAATGTAGGTTAAATTATTTTTTTTTTCCTCCTTCACAGGAAATGCTGCTGGTTTCATCAAATTATTTGAGCGTCTTATTCGAGGAGTTTGGACTCCAACCGCTATGGAATTTATGCAACCTAGTTTGTAAGTTGGAATTAAAATTTTATTTCTTGTATTTGCACTCAGTTTATTTATTTATTTACTTAGTTTATTATTTATGAAAATTTTAAAAATTACAATTTTTAAACTATTACTTACATTTGTTGCATTAGATAAATGTATAAAACAAAATAATTTTTTTGTTTCAGTCCTACGAAAGCATCGCTGGTGGCTTCGATTATTTTTGTTTTAGATAAAAAGACTGACCTTATTTCTGCACCTCATGCATTAGTGTACTTTGGAATTGTTATCTTCTTTGTCTACTTTAAGGTAATTATGTTTTAAATTCTTTTCCCTGACAAAGAAACTCGAATTTCAAAATAGAACTTGATAATTCAAAAAACTGTATAAATAAAATTGAACTCACATCTATATATATTTCACTTTCAATTTTTTAAGTCACTATTATTATTCACCGTGACTATTCAACCATGAAAATCAGGAAAACGACGTGAATTTAGTTTTGCCTTGAAAAAACTGAATTCTCATTGATTTTTTTTTTTTTTTTACTTAAACCTTGAACTTTCAAAAATGACATTTCGATACTTTAAAAAATTTAAAGTGATAAATTATGCTAGATTTTTTTTTGTCTACTTTGACAGTAATAATAATATTTATTTCTCTTGAAAATACGTCCTTTGATTAATTGATTTCTCAATTATTCTATCACTTAAGGATTGTGCTAAATTATTTTTTATGTCCTTAAGTGATTCAAATAATTGAGGCAAATATTTATTTCATTGTATATTCAATATAGAGTTTTTACAAATCTATTCAAGTATTTAAATTTCGCCTCTAATTCTTTTTTCTGCAAGTTAAACTTTAAATTTTTTTAATTTAATTCACACACTATTAGGTAATTAGCAATAAAATTAAATTTTCTTAAAATTAAAAATGTACGAAAAAATTCAAGTTTTTAAAAAATAGGTAAATTATTTATTGTAAAATTCAATAATTTTAAAAATTCAAAATTATTCAGTTTGAAAATAATTTCATTTACAAAGTAATTGAAAATGTAACATAACATTAGAATTTTAAAAATAATGAATTTGCAAAATAATTGTTATTTTATAATAATTGTATTAACATATAAAAATTAAAATGATTTTGAATTTATAGAATAACTGAATTTTGAATCCATTTAATTTTAAAATAACAATTGATATTTAAAAATAATTAAAATTAAAAATAATTAAATTAAAAAATACATAATTAAATTTCAAAAACCTTGAAAATCTGATAAAAAACCATAAAAAATTAAATTTGATTTCAAATTGTAATGAATATCATATTATTAAGTTTGATTAAAGATTATTTGTTTTAAAAATTTTCCATAATTTTTCAGTTGTCATCAATTTTATTGGGAATTCACGATCCATTTGTACCTTTTGAAAATTTATGCTGTGCCCTCTTCCTTGGAGGAATTTGGGATTCGTTAGCAAAATTATTTGGCCGTGGACAAGCCAAAGATGAAAAAGCCGATCCCAAAAAAACTAATTAATTTGGTATGTATGGAATCTTTTGAAAATTTCTTTAAACAAATTTTTTATAAGTTTTTCAGAAAAAAAAATATCGAATTTTTTTTTTTTTTAAACAATTTTTAATAAAAATTCAACGTTATTTAATTAATATACTTGAATTTTAGAAAGTCAACATTTAATGAAATGTTTCAACATAAAGAAAAAAAACCTGAAAATAAAATCTAGTCATCTATACCTAAAGTGCAATAATTTGTATATAAAAAACGATTCTATCGCAAGATGAAAAAAAAAACAACAACATAAGAGGGGTAATTACTGCTAGCATAATAAGACAATAGTATTATACCCATTGATCTTGTATAATTTTATATACAATAATCTACATTATTTCATAATTTTACTTGTAAAAAAACTAAAAACTAAAAAAAATCCAAAAAACTAAAACTAAGAACCAAAGTATTCTCTATAAAGAAAAATCTCTTGCCCTGTCAAACTTTTATTAAACTACTAATCATTAAAAAAAAAATTTACAATTTTAATATTTTATACAAAAATGTACGACACAAATTATATTTATAATCACCGTGTTGAATTTGCTTGAAATTAGTTGTGTTTTTTGTATATTAAAAAAAAAAGTTTGAAGAGCAACAATTTATTGCTTAAAAAATCACGTGGATTTTTAAAAATGTGCAATTTTTTTTTTATCCGAAAAAATTGTATTTTAAATCGTATTTTATTGACTGACACATGCAATCGCTAAAAAAAAGTATTATTGACATAATAATTGTATTTAAAAAAAAAAAAAAAAAAAAAATTAAGTATTGAAAATTTAGCGTTGTGCATAATACTAACTATATAAAGAATATATTTATAAAGACGAATGAAAGGATATTCATCTGCAAATAATGTAGAATTGTTTTGTAATTTTTTTTTTTTTTTTCAAGTGTGTGATTAATTCTTAACTTTAAAGAGTTCTTTTTACAAATCGACGAAAAATTATTAATTACATGATAATGGAAAATTTTAATAATTTAAAATGAATTTTTATTAATTTTAAGTGCAACTTTAAAGATAGGAGAAATTTTTAAAGTTTTTTTTAAATCTTCCTAAAAATCTTCCAAAAAACAAATTCTTTTTCAGTGCTTCTTTTATAGAAGCAAAAAATAAACAGGTAAATAGTACAAAAAAAATTCATTAAATTTTATTTATTTTAAAAAATTAATTATTTGTAAATATTATAATACAGTGCTCTGAAATGTTTTTTTTTCTCATTTGACATTAATCATTTGAATGATAGAGTTTTTAACTGAAAAAAAATTACCACTCAACTGATTAATAAATTCTTCGCCTTTTTTATGTACTATATAAATTATGTTTGAGATTATATATTATATTATATAATTATAATATTATAAATAATTCAGCGTTATTTATGTATAAGAAATTAAAATTTACGTTTGTTAAATTAAGTAGAATTCACCGCAATTGTCTTATATCCATTATTTTTTGTGATATTATTAAATCTTTATGAAAATATAAAAAAACATGAAAGGAAAAAATGAAAATTATTCTAAATTACCTTTTAAGAATATTTTTAAATAAATTAATTTGTTTTTGTGTAAATTTTTCCTTCTTTCGAAATATTGACTCGATAAATATTTTAACATGTAATATTAAGTTTAGTTATTATATTTTTCCAAAAAATATACTATTTATTAAATAATTATTAATTATTTTCTTAAAGTTTGAACATTATATATTTTTATTTGATATTTTTACTGTAACAAAAACTTTAACTTTAGACATAGTAGACAATAAGAATTTTAATTTTTCTTTCTTTCTAATCGAAAAAATCATTGTAGAATATCTGGAAAAGAAGAATTATTTATTAGACTTATAAAAAATCAATTTTTTTGTTTTTGGGGAAAAAATAATTCACCTTTCTATTTCCTAAATTTCGAATTCTTGAATTTTCCATACATTTTTTATCGATTTTCTTTTTTACTTTATAATTTGTCTTGTCTCTGATTTTTGTTAATTCTTTATTTGAACAATTTTCTTCACAATTTTTTAAATCTTTTTTAAATACTTGAAATTGAGAATTATCATTGAAACAAACTCGTTTAAAGCCAATTTTTCTGAAATCATCACTTTCAGACGTTGAATATTCTGAAAATTGTGCTTTTTGTCCATCACTTGATGAAATTACTCGCACTAAAATAGGCTCTCGACATTGATTTGTCATTTTTATTTTTTTATTATTATTATTATTATTAATACATTTTTCTTTTGAATATGATTGAGTTGAAGCATCTTGTGATCTTTTTTTTTCAATTGTATTTGTTCCTATTTCTTTATGAATTCTAAATTCAGTATTTGTTCCTTCACTTTCAAGAAGAGTTTGAATTATTTCCACAGGAAATTCTTCAATAAATGTATTCATACTTCGAGTTGTAATTGGTCTATTATCTGTTTCTGTTTGTTTTTCAATTCCAACATTTTTTTGAACTATTTTCAAATTTTCATGAAAATTTTCCACTTCTTGTTCTTCTTCTTCTTCAGTTGACATTATTTTTGATACTTTATTATTTTCTTTATTTTGTGATAATGTTGAATTTTTACTTTTTGTTTGTTTTAATATTTCAGGATTTGATAGTTTTTTTACACACTTGCATAATTTTTTAATTATTTCATTCGTATTTTTCGAATTAAATCTAGAATCTAAATTATTTTCTTTATTATTTTTTTTTCCAATTAATTAATTACAGAAGAGTATTTACTGTTTTTTTGAGAAAAAAATTTCGATTTTTAAAATACAAACCATTGGTATTATTTTTAGCATTTGAATTCAGTTCAAGAGCATATTTCAAAATGTATAAAATTCTTTTTGTCAAATCGCCGGTTTTATTTAATTTCTCATTTAAACAGGGAAAACAATCTGAATTTGACAGTTTTTTATTGAAAAGCTTTTCGAAACAAAATTTTAAATTCTCATCTACAACTTGATTAGTCTTGCAAATTCTACATTTACTTTCATTGTCATTTATTTCTTCATTTCTTGAAACTTGTGAATCAAAATTCTCCTGTATTTCAACTTTTATGATAAAATAAAATTTTAATTTTTATAGAAAATTAGCGGAATTTTAAATTTTTATAATAGAAATGTGAATTACCTTGGGAATCATTTCTCAATATTTTTTCAACACATTCTAATAATTCGGGTGTTGTCATTGTATTAGAATCGACCATTCTGGATTCTTGAGTTGTATTAGATGTTTCAGTGCAAATTGAAAAAGATTCATCTGCAAAATAGATTCTATAAATGTAGATGGATTAATTTTACTGTTGTAGGAAATTTTATAGCTAATTTTTTAAAATTAATTTTACAGGGTTTTTACAATATATGAAAAATTTTGAATTTTTTATAGAATTGTTTAAATAAGAGAAATCTTATTTTTATTTAATTTCCCCCACTTAAATAATAATTCATTTTTTTAATCAAATTTTAATTTTTGTTTAATCAAAATTTTCTTTTTTCATTTAATCAAATTATTATTTAACAGAATTTGAATGTTATTGAATTTTCATTTGATTTAATTTTTAATTTTATTATATATTTATTTATTCTCTTAATATTTGATCCAATTTTTATTTAACGGAATTGTTATTTGACAGAATTATTTTTTAAAAATAATTTTCATTTAAATAAATTCGTATTTAATACACTGAAAAAAAATTTATTTGAACTAATAATTTTTGTATTTAAAACAAATCCCATTTAATTGATTCAAATAATAATTATTTGATTCAAATAAATATTTCTTTGATAATAATCACAGACCTCGGATTATACGACTTTTTCTGACTTTTTTTTTGAAAATACGACATTTTTCGACTTATTTTAAAAAGATGCTACTTTTACGACTTTTTTTACATTTTTTTTTAATTAAAAACTTTTGAAATTCAATTTTTGTCTGTAATTTCTAATAAATTCTTTATCAACAGAAATCACAAAAAATTTCAATTAAAAATCACTTGAAATTTAAAATTTAAAAATATGAATATTGTAGGTAAATTTTTGAAAATTTAATTACTTTTAAAAAATGTTATCTAAAATTATTTGATAAATTATTTTCAATTCTATAAAATTTTTATTATTGTCTGAAATTTATAATTATTTCTAAAAATTTCAACTATAACTCTTCCAAAGTCCAATTATTTTTATTAATTTTAATATTTCTTTAAAAATTCAATTATTTAAAAAAGTTTCAAATAAAAACTCTAAAATTGAATTATTTTCAGAATTTTTTTTTTAGAAATTTTCCCTACTTAATTAAAATTTAGGAATGAATAAAATGGGTTTAATATTTAATAATATTAGTTATTTAAAATAAAATACTTATTAACTAATTAAATTTAATTAAAATAAAAAAATCGACTTTTTTTGGAATGTAAATCGACTAAAACGACTTTTTTTTGTGCCTTAAAGTCGAACCGAGGCCTGTACTCAAGTAATCGAGTATTTGAATCAAATAAATTTATTTTTCAGTGTAGAATTTTAATTTGATGAAATTTATATTTAATGACAATTTATTTTTATTTCGATTGTTTATTATTTATTTATTTTGAACGTAAATAAAAAAATTTTAAATTATAAACTAGTTTTATATTTCTATATTTTCAAATCTACTAAAATAATATACCTATTTTTTTTATTTAAAAAAAAATCATAACTACCATAATTTCTTTAAATAAAAAAAAATACAAATACAAAATAATTTCTTATTTTCCATATAAGATTTCGAAAAATTATTCCAGACAAAAAAAAATTTTTGAAAGAAAATCTCACGTGAAATACATGAAATAGAAATTTTTTTTATAATTAAAGTTTATCACTTGTAAATTGAATTACTTTTTTTTATATAATTTATTATATTTGTAAAAAATGTAATAAAATTTTTAAAAATTTATTTTTTGAACCGAATTTTTATTTGATCAAATTTTTAACCAAATTTGATTAATTATTGTAACCGAATTGTCATTTTATTTATTTATTTTTAAATTCTTTTTATCTTTTTTTAACATATAAAAATTATGTTAATTAAAATTTGGAATTCATGAAAGGCTTATAAAATTTTGACAGTATGCCAAAAAAATTTGTAAAAATTTTAATTTTATTTTATGATCAGAAATTTACCATCATAAATTCCATCATTATTTGCACCAGGACATGGAACAAAATTTTCATTAGTAAATATTTTCTGTGCAAGTTTAACACATTTTCCACCTGGCATAAGAAGAAAATAATCATCCTTTATCTCATCAGTTTGATCGCATGAAACACAAACACTTTTTTTTGGAATTATTCCCATCTTCAAATGATCTTCATCATCAATTCCAGTTTGTCTCGATTGTGTCGCAATTCCCGTGCATTGAATTTCTTTTGATAAATAATTTTTCACATCTGTTGAAATTCCTTGTTGCTTTAATTCTAAAGCAGTTTGAGTTTCTTGATTTGCAGCTTCATTCACTATTTTTTGCTTATTATGCATTCCTCTCTCATAACATTGAATACTAATTTTAAATGGAGAATAAGCATCGAATACATTATTTTCAAATTTATCTCCTATTCTTGAAGAAAATTTCACCACTCTCTGATCATCGGAACAATAATTTTTATCAATTACATTTGTTAATTCTTTATTGTATTTTAATGAATCGTCTCTATTTCTTAAACAAAATGATTTATTTTGTTCGGATGGTTCTTCTCCTTGAGATAAATCAAAATTTTTATTTGTACAAACAATGTTTTCAATTGTTTTTGAATAATTAACATTTCTATCATCACAAGTAGTTAAAAATTTATCAGCTGATTTTAATCTACCAGGACAATGAACATATTTTGTTCGATATCTATTTTGTTGATCACCATAAGCCTTGTAATTTAAATCATTGTAGAAATCGAAATTATTTGTTTTATTAAAATAATTTGAATAAGAATTCACATTTCTTGATGGATTATAATTAACTGCATAATGTAAATTTTCTGAATTTTTACAACACGAGGAACATTCTATTGATTTTGGATTTGTTGCACAAAATCTTGAAATATCTCTTCTTTTTTTCATTTCCCTCACACAAATTGATTGCTGTGAAAGAGTATTTGGATCTAAATAATAAAAATAAAAAATAATAATGAGGAAAAAATATACAAAAGGAATTGAACGTTTTCCAAAAAGGGCTTTAAAAAATTCTGTCTAAAAACGAAAATTTTCAAACCGTTTGGGGAGACGAGATTATTTTAAGATTAACACCAAAAATTCGAGGATTCAAAAATTTTTTTTTTTGGAAAATTACAAATGAAATAACAATTAATTTTCAATTGCAGTTTCTTTCGTCGCCGGTGTGTCGTTCAATTAATTTCAATTTTACCTTTAGTCTCTCTTTCTTCATTTGATGCTTTTAATAAATTCTTCTCAAAACTTGGACATTGAACGCAATTTGTATATTTATCATTCATTATTTTTTTCTTCGATTTTTTTCCCTTGTGTTTAATTTCTTCAGGAAGGGCAATTTTTCTTACAATTTTATGTCCACATGAATTATATGTAATTTGAGTAGTAGTGATTGGTGATGTTGATCTTATTTTTTTCTTTTTATTTATCTTTTTCTTATTTTTATTTGAATTTGTGCAAATTGTAAATTTAAAATTATCTTTTGTCTTATTACTAATACTTTTTTTCAGCATATCTTGCATTAATGGATATCACAAAAGTTTTGAATTATTAATTTTTCCCTCATATAAGCCATGAAGAATTTTTTGTTTATTGTATCTGAGAGTATTTTCAAAAAAATATTCTAATAAACAGAAAAAAAGAGGTAAAATTATTAAAAAAAAAAGGATAGTTTTGATTTTTTTTTGGGGTAATTTACTTTTTTTGTTATTCCTTCTATTTGTTGTTGACACTTTAATTCTGTTAATTTTGGAATATTAAGTTTTTTGAGAATTTTATTTACAGACTGTTTTTTTGTACAGTAATTCCAATATTTAGTAGAATTTTGATTCCAAAGGCATTCATGTTTTTTGTATTCTTGTAAAAATTGAAATCTTCTATTTTCACTACATTTTAATGTCATTACCAAATTTTTGATTTCTTGATATTTAAAAAATTTAAATTTATTTACAATTTATTTTTGAAAATAATAAACATCAAGTCATCTACGAAAAGAAAACATGAATTTGTTTATTAATTTTAAAAATATCATTTTTTTGACATGGTTAGAAAATTTTATGCCGAAAATTAAAACAAAAAAACGAGGTTTTTTCTCGGTTCTGTTTTATTCATGAATTTCAAAGAAAGTTTTTATTAATTATTTTAATTGGGATTTAATAATTGTAGAATAATTTTTATTATAAAATATTGAAAATAACATGAATACGGAAATAAAAAATAATAAATTAAATATTTATGAAAGAGATGTAAAATATGATAATAACAGGTAAATATAGTGTAATAAATTTAAAAAAAAAATTATCAATTTTTAACCAAAGAAATAATACAAAAATTAATATTAAGAAAATATGCTCGATACATGGCGTCTCTAATTTGTCAAACTCATCAAATTGAAAATAATTTTCAAGAAATTGCGAAAAAGAAACAAATTTCTATGAGTGAATTTAAAAAAATTCAATCATTTTACCAGTAAGACAATTTTTTTTTTAAATAAAAATTAAGAACTTTTGTTTCATAATATTTTTTTTAATTATTAGATTGTATAACAAGATGTCAGTCATGATTAATGACTGGAAAAATTTTCTTCTTCATTGTCAAATGAATAATGAATATTCTTGGAATGCAAAAATTGCCAATGAAAAGCAAAAACGAAATTCTTGTACAATATAAAATTTACTTTTTTTGTATAACAAAAACTAAAAAATTTGAAAAAGTAAATATTTTTATAAAAAAATGTATTTTTGAATAGAGAATTTTTTAATTTTAATTCTTAATAATAATTAATTAATTAATGACTTTTAATTCCCTTCCAATTTCGATAAATGCATCAACTGCTCTATTAATTTCTTCTTTTGAATGTGCTGCACTTATTTGAACGCGTATTCTCGCCTTTTCTTTAGGAACAACTGGATAACTGAAGCCAATAACATAAATATTTTTTTCTGTAAGAAAAATATTTAAAAATTAATTATTAAATTTTTTTTCCTTATTTTTATAATTTATTAATTTATATGATTTAAAGAAAATATCATACCCAACATTTTATCAGCAAATTTTGATGCCAATTTTGCATCGCCAAGCATAACAGGACAAATTGGATGATTATCGCCACTAATTTTAAAACCAGCTGATGTCATTCTACTTCTAAATAATTGAGTATTTTCCGTAATTTGATCGAGAAATTCAGTGCTATCCGATATGAGATCAATCACCTAAAAATTATTTTAATATAATAATAATAATAATAGTAATCAAATATATTGAATAATATTATAATTTCCAAAAGTAATTCATTACTTGAATTCCTGAAGCTACAACTGGTGGTGGTAGTGAATTTGAAAATAAATAGGGTCGACTGCGTTGTCTTAATAAATCAATTACTTCCTTACATCCTGTAGTATAACCACCAGCTGCTCCTCCTAAAGCTTTTCCTAAAGTTGAATTTATTATATCGATGCCACCAACATTATTAAAATACTCTTCAGTTCCCCTAAAAAAAAAAAGGTTCACATAGAATATAACTTATTTTATTATTATTCCAGTTATTACGAAAATTACTTTTTCTCATTTTTGCCAAAGTTGTATAATTTATTGTGTTTCTAAATTTCGGAATAAGTTTCTTTAAAATTCCAAATTCGAAAATTCAATTCACGAAGCTGAAGTACACAACGTTTACCAACGAAATTTTTTTTAAAGTTGTATGTTGATTCAAAAATTGTTTACCAATACAAAAAATTTATGATGAGAAAAAAGATGCGCCAGGAAATTTCGTACAAGATAGTAATTTGAAAAAAATTAATTTTTAACGTACCAGGGGCCAACGAATACCTATTAAATATTAATTATAAAAACACAGGCCTCGAATCAACTTAAAGACACAAAAAGTCGTTTTAGTCGATTTATATTCCAAAAAAAAGTGGATTTGTTTTTTATTTTAACAAAAATATTTTACAGATTTTTAAATAAAATTTTTTTTTTTAATAATAATACTTTTCGAAGGGTTAAAGTAGAAATTTTTAGAAATAATTAAATTTCAAAAGATATTGTTAATTTTCAAACAATTATTAAATTTTACAGAACTAAAAATAATTTATCAAACAATTTTTGGAAAACATTTTTTAAATTTAATTCAAGTTTCAAAGATTTAAAATTGAGATTTTTGAAATTAATTGAAACTTTAAATGATTTTTAATTTAAATTTTAGATGATTTCACTAAAAATTTATTAGAAAATGCGGACAAAATACAATAATTTGAAAATCATTTTTAATTGAAAAATGGTTTCAGATAGTTGAAATTTCAAAGAATATTATTAAAATAGTTAAAAATAATTGAATTTCCTTAGAGTTATAATTGAAATTATTAAATTTCAAAAAAAAAATTTTCGATGCAAAATTTTAGAAATAATTAAATTTTAGATGCTTTTAAATTCAAATTATTGAAAATTCAATTAATTTTGAATTCAAATTTTTGAGAATAATGAAATTTTATCTGATTTTAAATTTGGAAAATAATTGAATTTCAGTTCATTTTGAATTGAAAATTTTGGGAAATAATTGAATTTTAATTGAAATTTTGGATAATAATTTAATTTAAGTTCATTTTTTATTGAAAATTTGGATAATTAATTTTGAATAGAAATTTTAAAAAATAATTGAATTTTATTTCATTTTAAATTGAAAACTTGGTAAATAATGAAATATTAAATTGAAAATTTTGGATAATTATTGGATTTTTAATTGATTTTGAATTAAAATTTTTGGTAATAATTGAATTTTAGTTTATTTTGAATTGAAATTAAAAAAAAAATAATTCAATTGTGATATTTTTTTTTAAATTATAAACAATTGTTAAATTTCATAAAAATTTTAATTGAAAAATAATTTTGATATAATTGAATTTGTGATGTATTTCATTAAAATTATTAAAAATAATTAATTTAGTGAAGAATCATTTTAGTTCAAAATTTGTTAAATAATTGAATTGAAGAAGATCTGAAGAAGATCTACATTTTATACTAAAAAAATGTATTTTATTTATATTTTTTTTCAAATGTAAAAAAAATGTCGCATTTTATTAAAATAAGTCGATAAAAGTCGTATTTTTGAAAAAAGTCGGAAAAAGTCGTATAATCCGAGGCTTGTAAACATATAATTTTAATTATTATCATTTAATATGTAAAAATATTCTAATAAATTAAATTATTATTGATAATATTAATCTTTAATTTCTTTATAACAAACAATTAAATACACAATTTGGCGCGCGTTTAATTTTGCTAGTTTTTAAATAAAAATTTTAAAAAGATTCAATTATTTTTTACATTTGATATTTTAATGTAATTGAATTTTTGAAGTACATACATACCCCATTGAATCTACTGTGAAGTAAACATATTTTTTATTTATTGAAAAATTAAAATTTGACAAAACAAAAATGTTAGCAATGATTTTAAAAAAAATTCGAATTATCAAAAAATGTAAATTGTACTTTTTTGAAAAAACGTTATTTTGCACAATTTTTGCTTTTTTAAAATTCTAACAGGTAAATATTTTTTTATCTAAAAAAATATTAGGCCTCGGATAGATGCAAAAGAAAGTCGATTTAGTCTATTTACACTAGAAGAAAAGTAGAAAAAGTTGATTTTTTAAATTTAAATAAATTTAATTTAATAAATTTTTTTTTCTATTAGCCATTGATATTAGATATTAAAAATAAATTTTAATAATTTCTCAATAAAAATAATTGCATAGAAATTATTAAGAAATATAATTTAGATAATATTTTAAAATCAAATTGAAAAAAATTTTAGATTTATAAAAAAAATATGAAAGTTACTTTTTTGAAAAAAAATTTCAAGTCTGAATTATAGAAATTATTTATAAATTCAGAATTTTTTCAAAGTTTAAAATTGAAATAATAATATTTTTTCAGTCACTTTTAAAAATAAAATACTTTATCCAAAAGCGTTTTAAATGATTTAATTTAAAAAAAAAACTTGATAAAAATTATTCGAAACAATTGATTAATATTATTGAAAATTAGTAGTTTGGAAAAGAATTTTACATAATTTTCAAAATAATTGAGTTTTGGAAGAATGATATAATTAAGATTTTTTAGAAATAATTGAATTTCAAGAGATTTTAAATTGGAATTTTTATAAAATAAAATTGCAGAAGATTTTTTTTACAAATTGCAAACAATAATTGAATATATTAAACAAATTTTCATTATATATAATTAAAAATTATTTTAAATTATTCAATTTTAGAAGAAATTCTTTAAAATTATTTAAAATAATTAACTTGCCTAAAGATAAAAATAAATTTAAATAGAAATTTAAAAAAAATGGAATTTCAGAAGAGCTACAGTCCAAATTTTAATTATATTCATCAAATTTCAGGAGATTTTGAGTGGAAAATTTTGTAAATTTAAATTTTATTACTAAAGACTTTTTTAAAAAGAATTTCAGGAATAATTAAATTTAAAAAAATATTTTTTAATTGAATTTTCATTAAAATTATTGAATATAATTAATTTCGCAGACATTTTAGATTTTATTTTTAATTTTTTTTTAAATTCATATCATTTTTGAAAAATAAAAATAATTTAAAAAAATAGAAATTATTTAATAATTTTTTTTTATACTCACCGACCAGTCTCACCGAAAAATCCAGTTGCATGACAATCGTCAACAAATGTTAAAGCATTATATTTCTTTGCAAGCTCTATTATATCCTTCAATGGTGCAACAGTTCCATCCATAGAGAAAACACCATCAGTTACAATTAATTTTAATCGTGACGATGTACTTTCCTTGAGTTTTTCTTCCAAATCATTCATATCTCTGTGTTTATATCTAAATTTTTTAGCTTTACAAAGACGAATTCCATCAATAATCGATGCATGATTTAATTCATCGCTAATTACACTATCCTCATTTGTTAAAAGAGTTTCAAAAATTCCAGCGTTTGCATCAAAACACGAGGCATAAACTATTGTGTCCTCTCTTTTATGAAAGGCTGTAATTTTATTTTCCAATTGTTTATGAATTTTTTGTGTACCACAAATAAATCTTACTGAACTTAATCCAGCTCCATATTGATCGAGTGCTTTTTTTGCTGCTTCAATTACTTTAGGATGATCCTTAAATTACCAAAAAAAAAAAATATATATATATATACATTTTACTGTGTAATTTATTTAATTTTTCCAATTTTATTAAATAAATAATTATTATTTCTATATTTAACTTACCGATAGTCCTAAATAATTATTGGCACAAAAATTGAGAACTTTTTTTCCATTTAACAATGAAATTTGTGTTCGTTGAGGTGAAGCTATTATTCTTTCTGATTTCCATGTTCCAGCTTCCTTGATTGCTTCTAATTGTGGTTGAATAATTGATTTTAATGCACTTGTATGCTGAAGTTTAGAGCCATTTGTCAAAAAATTATCCGGCGAAATACCTATACGAAAATTATAGTTATTCAAATAAATTGAAAAATTTGTATTTTGGAAAAAAAAGTCAGAAAAACTTGAGAAATTATAATCCGAGGCCTGAATAATAAAGAGAATTTTATTTTTTACAAAGAGAAAAAAATTATTACTTACGTTTTAATAAAATACGACTCATCTTATTTTTTTTTAAAAAAATTTTATATTAAATATGTATCCTGACCAAATGTCAATGATTTCTCGAAGACTGGAGAAGAGTAACAAGTAACCTGATAAAGGAAAGTAGACAAAAATAAATCTCAAAAACTGGTCTAACTGGTTTTCCTATGAATGCATCTATGTATATATAATAAAGTGAAAGCATTAATCATTTCAAGATCAATCGCATAAAATTGAGACATTGGCATACGCTTTATTTAAATAAATTTGTTTATTGCAAATTTTCAAAATTTTTTTAAATTGTCTTCTTATTTCAAAAATTAAAAAATAAACTAAATTAAAAAAAAAATGAAATTATAAAAAAATGTAAATAAATAAACATTGTAATTATTTACTTGTAAATATGATTTATAAATAAAGTTTTAAAAAATAATAGGTAAAAGTTTATTTTCAAAATTAAAAATCGAAAAAAGTGTCGATTAAATCTATATTTATTTATAATACATATTTAATCATTATAATTTTTTACATAACTTCATAACTTTTACGCGCTTAATTTTCAATAAAAAAAAATGGATTAGTAAATTGACGATATTACCTCCATTTTTTTTTCGAAGTACATTACGTTTTTTACAAAAAAAAAAAAAAAAACTCTATTTCGTGGAATGCATTACAATAAATCGAAGAATATCACGCACGGAAAGGTAATATATATATATTTTTTTTTAACTATTTTTTTTTATACAAAGAATAAATGATATTATTCACAATGGTTGCATTATTTCTCACTCAATTCACTATTTCCTATAAATATTTGCTCTATTCGCATCAATTATAAGATATAATGAACAACTTAAATAAAATTCTATTTAAAAAAAACAATGTCTTTGTAATTCACTATTATTTTTCTATTTTTCTTTAATAAAGTCATCGATTTTATTCTAAAAATTCTTATATAGTAAATTGCAAAATGTGTTGGAAAAAAAAATTGAAATTTTAAAGAATTAGATTATTATAAATATAAAGAAAGGATGAAAAAATTATAGCGCCTAGTTTTAGAATTAAAATTACTAGTCGATTTTCTATTTATTAAAAACTTTGTTCATTAATTATATTTTAAGGACTAGCAAAAATTGGACTTGATAGAATAAATGAAAAAAAAAAGTAAAAAAAAATGTGTGTACTCCTTTAATTTACAAAATTAAGTATTACGTACATACATTGAATAAAAGTCTCTAATTTTCAATATCAGTTCAAATTTTTTTTTTTTTAAGGAACAAATATTATTCCATATATAAATTTATGAAACTTTATTCTTGACAAAGAGCCTAACTGCTAAGGAATAAAGGCGTGGAAAATTATGTACAGCTAAGTACACGATTCCTAAGTACAAAACTATGGCAATCGTTAGAAATAGATCGAACACTGCTGGTTTTACACTGCAAAAAATTTTTTAAAAATTATTATTATTATTAATAAATATTATTCTAGTATGGTAGAAATATTATTATTATTATTAAATTAATTAATTGAAAAATGTTTAAAATACCTGTATACATTTAATGTAGCTTTAGTGACATCGTATAATACGAATTCGGGATCCCGTTTTTCAGGACTGTGAAGCGTAACTTTTACATCCCCCAAATATCGCATCATTATTTCCTTAAGTGCACTAACTAGAGAATTTTGTTTATCCGCTAATAAAACAGCTGCTCTTGGTTGTGCAGACAAATATTCTAACCAAAGTGAAAGCGAATCTTTGGAAACACTCTGAAAATAACAAATTTATTTATAATTTCAAGAAAAATAATGAAAAAAAAAAACAATATTTACGCAAAAAAGTCGATAAAAATCTAAATAAGTCGCATCAGAGTTGACACAAAATTTTTATTATAATTTTCCCTTACTTCCTGGACAATAATTTTTGTTTTTTTTCCCTGACATTTTCGAATTTTGTTCTTTTTTATTAAATGTAAATTCCTTTTTTAAAAAATTTTTTGATAAATGAAAATTAGATTAAATGAAAATTTTAATTATATTAAACATTTTATAAAGAACAATTCAAATTCTTAAAAATTCAATATTACACATTTTCAAAAGTTCCAGAGAAATTCTTTTTAAAAATTCAATTATTTTCAAAGCATTCAATCAAATTTTACGAAATTTCAATTAATTATATAGTTCTTTTAATTTAATATTATTCGAAAATTCAAATATTTTCAAAAATATAATTTAAATTATTATTATTCAAAAAAAAAAAAACTTTACTTTTTATTTCAATACAAAAATTCTTCGAAATTTCAATTATTTGAAAAATTAAAAATTTTCTAAAACTCAATTATTGTTAAAAATTTTGTACAATATTAAATTGTTAAATTTAAACGATAATTAATTTGACAGAAATTAAATTTGATTGAAATTCAATTTTTATGAAACATTGTCCCGTAGAACATTAATTTTGCAGAATAGTAATTTTAAAAAATCTTAATTTTGCAGAATATTCATTTGTTCGAATATTATTTTTTTTTGCACCACATTTAATTCTTTGGATTTGAATTTTCCCTCTCGGGTAATTTTGAATTTTAACCGTCTATCTTAAACCTTGATTTTTATAGTATTTTAAATTAAATTATTTTATAAAATGTTAATAATTGTAGGTTTTGTTTTAAAATTGTTTTGTTTTCTATTAACTTACCAACGGTTCTGCAAAAATTTGACCAGAACTCAAATTGTAAATGTGCCTCGCTAATGCTTCAGCAACAACTGTTGTATGCTCATAAAGTCTATCAACTTGTCCATCTTGAACAATATCCAAAAATGTCCTTCTCATTGGATCCTCATGACTTTTTAATGTTGATAGAGTGGCAGCGGGTAATCTTCGAATACTATATCGCTCGTGTTCCCAAGCCAGCATCTCTTCAGCTAAATTAATTTTCTTATGTACACCTTCAACAGTTGTATAACCTAAATCATCGGCAATTGATTTCATTTCTTTATACAATAATCCACCTGATGATGTTTCCTTCGGTGGTTTTGAGACATGTACATATAAATTTTTCCCCGTTGAAACAGAATCAAGACACATTACATATGAAGCGTCCTAAAAAAAAATAAAACAAATCGATTAAAATTAAAATTATCGATATTTCCTTCAATTTCTTCTTTTTTTTAACTTCCTATTTTTTTAAATCTTCAATTTTCTCTTTTCATTTATTTATTGGTTTCTTTTATTCTTTTCAATTTCTCCGTAAAATATTCTTTTTTCTTAATTAGTTAAATTTATTTATTTTTACAAACTGTCTCAAAATTCTCTTAAAATTAAAAAAAAATTTAAATTCTAAATTAAATTTTTTTCTAGAAAATAGAGACAAAAATAATAGAAATATTGGAATTTCTAAAATTTTCTATTTTTCTTTCAATTTTTTCAAAATTTTTAAATCCTTTCATTTTTCTAAAATTGTCAATTTCCTTATTTCCTTACATTTTTTTAAAAAATTCTCCCGTTTTTTTTCCTCGATTTTTATTTCGAACACTAAATTTTTTTTCAAATTTATCCTTCAAATTCTCGTTTTATTTTTGATATTCATAAAATTTATTATATTATTGCTGAAGAATTTACAAAATTTATTATGTTTTCTATTTGATATAATAAATTATTAATTTCATAAACTTTTGATTATTAAAAAATTATGTTAAAAGCTAAATTTGGTTAAATATAATTTTTTTCTTTAATTCATAAAAGTAGGAAAGTTGCTATTAGTAAAAAATATAAAATATTTATAAATAATAAAGAAAATTTTCTTACTTGTATAATTGAGCCTTCCAAACCATCCAATTGATCCTCTAACCATTTTTTACTGCCCTGGTAATTTAATTTTCCAGATCCAGTTATTAAAAATACTAAATTAAATCGCGGTCTTGATCGACCAACTGAATAAAGAGCAGAAAATATTCTCGCCAATTCGAGTAACATTGCTACACCTGAGGCATTACTTTCTGCACCAAAAGACAATTCCTGAAAAATGAGATAATTTTTTTTTTTTTAATTTGGAGATGATAATAATAGAAAAGCATTTTCATCAAAAAAAAATAATTTTACGTTAATTTGTACGTGAAATAAATAAATTTGGGCAAATCCACAGAACTGTACAATTTCATAAATGAATTCTTAATAAACAAAATTTTGGAGGCATTTTTTAATTATAATTTTTTCAGTATTAAATATGTGTTGAATATAACACGGAAAGAAAATAAGTATCAAAATTTTATAGAAATATTTTCAAATTTCAATGATACTAAATTTTATTAAATCCTGTATTAAGTTTATAAAAGTTTTTCAAAAGATTCAAATTTTGTATACAAAAATTATTATTTTTTTTATTTTTTTTCTGAGCATAAATAAAATGTGTGGTTGCAATTTAAAAATTTTCTATAACATATAATAAATCGTACGGTTCTCTGGATTTGTCCATAAATTAGAATACTGAAAAAAATTGTTAATAAAATCAATGAAATGAATTTAAAATGTAAAAAAAAAAAAATGAGTCTCATAAATTCTTACTGGTGCAGCACCCGTACTATCGTAATGAGCGACTAGAGCAATAGTGGGCAACTTTTCCTCAGCACCTGTGCCAGTCAATTTGCCTTGTAATGTGGCTACTTTTACATCGTTTTTAGCAGTTGCTTGGCTCGCGGCAACAACAACTTGATAGCCACTTGCAGAAATAGAATTAACAATTGCTTCTGCAGCTGAGCCTGCTTTTTCATCGGTAATAAAACCACCGACGATATCATCTAATATCACTTGAAGATGAGGGCTCCATGGTGCAAAATACACTGGAATTGGAGTTTCTGGTCCATACAACATGGACTCTTCCACTGACAATATATGCTGTTAACAAAAAAATTTATAATTTTTGATTTATAAAAAATTTACAAGTTTTTTTTTTTATCTTTGCCAACTTCTTTTATTCGCAACTCAAGGCGAAAAATGGCAATTAATAATAGTATAAAAATTTCTGTTAAAATATATATTTCATATTTATAGATTATTCAATTTATTCCTAAATGTAAAAAAAATTTCAATTTTTTTCAAAAATAAAAATTCGTGATTAACTCTACAAATGTTGATTTTATGATATTTTATATAATATCATTCAGAGTTAACAAAAAAAAAAATTTATTTTATTTTTCCCTGATCCTACAGAAAATATTTCAAGTGGTTTTCAATTATAAAAAAATAAACGATGCTGAAGTAGGCAACGTTTATGATAAACAATTTTTAATAAAATAATTTTTTAAAATGAAACATTCAATAATTTTTTGCCTGAAAAATATTTCTTGCAGTTTTTATTTAGCAACAAATTATAAAAAAATATTTTTTTTTTAAACTGTTTTATAATTTTCCGTGTTAAATAAAAATTGATTTCTAATCGTTAATCATAAACGTTGCGTATTTCAGCTTTGTAAAATTAAGACAATTTTTAAAAGCAAAAGTTTCAATTAAAAATTTTAAAAATTATAATTTTAGTAGCATTTTTAGAAATTTGATATTTTTCCAGTACTTTTCATAAAATTCCCTGACTTTTCAATGATTTTCCTGACCTGTGGCAACTCTGTCATTGGATTTCTTTTTTTAATATAGAATATTTTCTACCAAAAAAAATTTGTTAAAAAATGACAATTTTTAAAGTTAGTTAAAAAATTAAAATTTTCTTCAAAAATTAAAAATTGCAAATAATACTACAATTTTTTTTAAAAAATGTTAGATTATACAAAACAAATATTGTTATTTTTTACATACATTTTTTTTTACAAATTTTTTAGTTATTAACATAAAAAATTTTATTTTGAAAAAATTTTTTTTTATTATTTTAAATATTGAAAATTTTGGTCTTCTTTGCTTTGTTATTTTTTAAATAAAATTTGTTTTTCAATTTGTTAATTATTACATAAAAAACATTTTATTTAATTATTTAGTACCCTAATTTTTATAATGATTAAAAAATTTTATACATACAAAATAACAAGTTTAAAAAAAAAAATTTTTTATGTAATTTATCTTCCTAAATAAATAAATGACAATCAAGAATTTTTTTTAAATTCCTAAAATGAAAGAAGAATTTGCGGGAAAATTGAGAATATTATAAACTAATTTACAAAAAAAAAAAATTTAATAATTTTAGAAACCCCAAGGAAAGTAGAAATCGAGGTGAAAAATCGCTTAAAGAAACGAAAATTTTAAAAGTAAAATGAAAATCGAAAATTTAAGGAATTAGAAAGTAATCCTAAAAAAGAAGAAATTGGAAAAAAATTGATAATTTTAGAAATTAAAAAAAAAATCCGAGAATTTTCTCCGCGTTTGTAAACATAAACAAATTTTAAGAATTTCCAAAACAAATAATTTTATAAAAAGAATATATTTTGCAGTAAAAAAGACAAAATTGATCCAAAATTCAAAAATTTCCTGACCATCAGAAACAATAATTCTCTGCCTATTTCTATTATTCGCAACTCATTGAATGACTAATAACTATCAAAATTTCCATAAATGAAAAAATAAAATTTACCAATTAAAGAATTTGATATGTCAAAAAAAAAATAAAATTACCTGCTTTTGATCTTCAGTGAGACTATCCATTTTTTCAGGAAGGACAATTATCAAGGCACCAGCTTTTTCTCGAATATTATGAAATGAATCTGAATTTAGATTCAAAATACTCGTGACAACACAATGTCTTGAAGTACTCCATCCTGTCAATGATCTTGCTTCTAAAGAAATGGGAGCACTACGACATCCTAAAAAAAATAGAACATTAAAAAAAAAAAACCAAAACCATTAGAATAGAAAATTATAATAAAAAACAAAATTCTGAAATCATTATGACAATATAAGTAAAGAAATGAAATATATTTTACCATGAGGAACACCATGCAAGTCCCACTGGTGCATTCGAAAAACGGGAAATTCATGAGAAGCTGCCACGGGGTTGGCCGGTGAAATTATAATAAAAATTGGTAATACTATTAATAAATAATATGGAAGATAACCCCGACAGAGTTCCGCGAAACCATCACATTCTTCTAACCACATATTTCTATTATTTTTTTTCTCACAAAATTATAGAAAAAAAAGGAAAAAAATTACTACAAATGAATATTTCAGTTACGACAATAAATATCAATATATTTCCCAGATCACGAGTCTTCGTTATAGGTTGAATGCAATTCTTGCCATTTACAAGTTATGACATCATCAAATATGAGTGTTATCTGGAGGGAAATTCAAATTTTCCATCTTGTACTTATTTAGTTTTTTTTAATATTTCCCTAAAAACAAAATTTTCTATTTATTTAACATTCAAATATAAATATTAAGTTTCTATTTTCATTTACTAAAATTAAAATTAAAAAAATTTTCCTCCTTGAAAATGAGGTCATTCTACGATAACAATAATATCGATACTTTTCGATAAAGGGAGAAAAAAAAATGGCTGCCGGCTTACGAAAACTGCTAACTTCAAGGTTGTCAAAGGAGAAGCGTTATTTTTGAGGTTAGTCCAAAGTGAAATAGGCATTAAGTGCATTGTATGCCGGTTTAATTTTATAAAAAATAGATAAAAACCAAGTATTACAATGAAGCTAGTAAGGTAAATAAATATTTAATCTATTTCTATTATTGTTAAATTAATTTGAAATAAATTATTTAGTTATATACATTAGTTTATTTTGAAATTAAATCAAGTGACTTAACCTTCAAAACAACTAACAATCGCGTGTAAATTTTAATAATTAATTCTTTTCTTTTATTATAACAGATTTTTAATGAAACTCAGTCACGAGACAGTGACAATTGAATTGAAAAATGGTACACAAGTTCACGGAACGATCACAGGTATGTTTATTTATCGTTTTTTTTTTTTAATCATCGTTAGGAAATGCCAAGCAAACGTTTGTTGTGTTCGAACATGTATATTTTTTTGGAGCTTGGGCACAATGATAATTCTATTTGCATTTAATTGAAATATTTTAGTTAGTTTTACCAAAAATAAAAAAAATATATTATTTATTCAGCACTAATATAAACACGCCTCAAATTATACGACTTTTTTTGACATTTTCTTTATTTCAATTTTTTAACTAAAATTTTTCTCTAAATTAATTATTTTTAATAATTTTAATGAAATTCTTCACAAATTCAATTATCTTAAATTATTTTTGAATTAAAACTTTTTTAAAAAATTTAACTATTAAAATTTGAAAAAAAAATCAACAAAATAAAATTACCAAAAATTTTAATTTAAAACCTTTTAAAATTTAATTATTTTTCAAATTTTTCATCTAAAACTTTTTGAAATTTAATAATTTCAATTAAAACTAATTCAAATTTTCAATTATTTTTAATCATTTTTAATCATTTTCATAATATTCTTCGAAAATTCAATTATCTGAAAGTATTTTTTAATTGAAAAATTTTTAAATACAATTTTTGTCTTCAATTTTTAATAAATTCTACAGCAACAGAAATCACCAAAAAAAATCTAATTCAAAATCAATTGAATTAAATTATTTTCAAAAATTTCAATTTAAAACCTTTTAAAATTTAATTATTTCTAAAATTTTCTGAAATTTTATAATTTCAACTATACCTCTTCAGAAATATAATTATTTTAAATGATTTTTATAATATTCTTCGAAAATTCAATTGTGTGAAAGAATTTTTCAATTAAAAAATTTTTAAATACAATTTTTGTCTGTAATTTCTAATACATTTTTCAGCTCTTTAAATCTGAATTAGTGATTTACATTTTTTTTGCAATGAATTAGTTAAAATTTACTAATGAATTAGCAAAGAAAAAATTTTCACTAATTAGTAAAATTTAAATATTTTATAGCAAAAAGTAAATGAGTAATTTTTAATTAGTTGAAAATTCTTACTAATTTAGATTTTATACGATGCTGAAGTACGCAATGTTTATGTTTAACAATTAGAAATTAATTTTTATTTAACGCAGAAAATTATAAAATTGTTCATTTAAAAAAATATTTTTTATAATTTTTTGATTAATAGAAATATAGAATAGAATAATATATAGAATATATAGAATATAGAAATATTTTTCAGGCATCGTGATTTTACGACTCTGAAGTTTTCAACGTTTATGATCAAAGAAATTTTAAAGAAATATATTTATTTTTTTTTTCAATGAAAAATTTTACGAATTTTTTTTTCGAAGATATTTCTTGCAATGTTTATCGATAAGAAAATTTGTAAAAAACAAATTTATAACAAATTTTATAATGACATTTTTTTTAAAAATAATTTGTTTTTTAATCGTTTAAAATCTATGACTCTTCATTTAATGTTTGTTATCATTTATGTGTAGGCGTGGACGTAGCAATGAATACACATTTAAAAACAGTAAAAATGACGATAAAAAATAGAGATCCTGTTCAATTGGACACTTTGAGTTTACGAGGAAACAATATTAGGCATTACATTCTACCAGATTCTCTGCCATTAGAAACTCTTCTTATTGATGACACACCAAAAGCCAAAGCCAAGAAGAAGGAAGCTGCACGAGGTAGTATATCACTTCAATTTTTTTTTTCTTCATTCTAATTTAATCGTTAAAAAAATACTATCAGAGTTGCCATGGATCAGGGAATTTTATGAAAAGTACTGCGAAAAAAAAATATCAAATTTCTAAAAATGATACTAAAATTATAATTTTAGAAATTTTCAATTCAAACTTTTGCTTTTTAAAAATTATTATCTTAATTTTTTTATAAATGAAAACATACTAAATTATTTTCATTAGGGTTAGGGGAAAAAATTTTAATTCCGTCTGGTAATCAGGGAAAAAGAAAATAAAAATTTTTTTGACAACCCTGAGTATTTTTTTTATAGGCCTCAAATTATACGACTTTTTTCGACTTATTTTAATAAGATGCTACTTTTTCGACCTTGTTTTACATTTTTTTTACAGAATTTTTAAATATTCTTCGAAATTTAAATTCAGTAAAATTTAATTATTGTCTGTAATTTAACAAACAGACTCATTAAAAATTCACGCAGCTGAAGTACGCAACGTTTATATAAGCGATTTTTAAAGAAATAATTTTTTATAATGAAAAATTCTATAATTTTTTGCCTAAAAAATATTTCTTGTAGTTTTCATTAATCAATAAATTATAAAAAAATATTTTTTAGGCAAAAAATTATAGAATTTTTCATTTTAAAAAATTATTTCTTTAAAAATCGTTTATAATATAAACGTTGCGTACTTCAGCTTTGTAAAATTCAATTATTTTTAATAATTTTTATATTTGTTTAATAATTCAATTATTTAAAAAAGTTTCAAACGAAAACTCTAAAATTGAATTGTCAGAAATTAAAAAAAAACTGTAGCAGTCTAAATTCAGGCCTCGGATTATACGACTTTTTCGACTTTTACTGACTTTTTTTTCAAAAATACAACTTTTTTCGACTCATTTTAATAAAATGCGACTTTTTCGACTGTTTTTACATTTTTTTTACAAAATTTTTTAATAAAATACGTATTTTTTTAGTGTATATACAATGCAGATATTCTTCAGATCTTCTTTATTTCAATTATTTAACAAATTTTTAACTAAAATTCTTCACAATTCAATTATTTTAAACTATTTCTCAATTAAAATTTTTATGAAATTTAATAATTTTTTATATTTTTAATAATTTATTATATTTTTAAAAAATTTTTTAAAAAATTACTAAAAATTTTTAATTTAAAATTCCAATTGAAATTCAATTATTTAAAAAATTTCAATTCAAAATCAACCAAAATTCAATTATTTTACAAAATTTTAGTTCAATATCAATTGAAATTAAATTATTTTCAAAATTTTCAATTTAAAATCAACTAAAATTCAATTATTTTCCAAAATTTCAATTAAAAATTAATTAAAATTCACTTATTGTCTAAAATTTCAATTTAAAAACTTCTAAAATTTTATATCTAAAATTTTTTAAAATTTATAATTTTAATTATAACTCACTTGATATTCAATTATTGTTCATGATTTTTATATTCTTCAAAAATTCAATTATCTAAAACGTCTGAAACCATTTTTCACTTAAAAAGTTTTTGTTTGCAATTTTTAATAAATTTTTTAGTAACAAAAATCATCAAAAGTTTTAAATTAAAAATCACTTGAAGTTTAATTAATTTCAAAAATATAAATTATAAATCTCTGGAAATTCAATTACTTTTAAAAAATGTTATCTAAAAATTATTTGAAAAATTATTGTCTGAAAATTGGAAAAATTTTTTTAAATTCAATTATTTCTAAAAATTTTAAATTTAACTCTTCCAAAATTATTATTATTTTAAAAAAAATTTGTATTTAAAAATCTGTAAAACTTGATAAAGTTTTTTTTTAGATAAAAACTAAAAACTATGATAAAATTTTAATAAATTGCTTAAATCAGACTTAAAAAAATTGTAAAAATGGAACTTTAAGCATTTTTTTTTAGAAATTTGTTCTACTTAAATAAAATTTTGAAAATTTGTCTTACAATTAGTTTGATTCTGAAATATTAGAAATAAATTTTCTTTATAATATTTTTATAGAATTATTTTTATTACAGAATTAATGACATGAATTTAATATCCAATAACATTAGTTGTTTAAAATAGAATATTCATTAACCAATTCAATTTTGTTAAATAAAAAAATCGACTTTTTTTTTAATATAAATCGACTAAAACGACTTTTTTGTGTCTCAAAGTCGATGCGAGGTCTGTAAATTCTTTTTTTGTGCCTTAAAGTCGATCCGAGGCCTGTTTTTTTACCAAAAACATGAATTAAATTTTGAATTTTATTAAACATAAAAAAAATTCTAAATTTTAGGAGCTGCAAGAGGTCGAGGACGTGGTGGTAGAGGAGCGAGAGGAGGTCGTGGTGGACGAGGTAGGGGTCGAGGCAGACGATAGTATTCACAATCTTAATAAGAAAAAAAAAAAAAAAAATTCCAATATTGATTAATTCAATATTTCATTTCAAATTTCTACACATTTTGCAAGTTATTTAATATTAAAAACTTACGTTTTTTTTCTACAATCAACTGATTTTTTTTTTGTTCATTACAAAAAAAATGTAAGGAAAAATGGCATTTATGTTTGCAAGTCAAATGTAAAGTCAATGTAAAGGAATTATAATATACTATGCTCGTATAATTATTAAAATTTATTTTGTATTATTTCACATAATAAATACAGTCTTATACAAAATAAAAGAGAGAGAGAGAGAAGACATTTTTGTTCAGAAAAAGAAAGTAGCAGAATTCGAAGTCACTGCATCATGTATAAATGTATTGTGGATCGGTTTATATTGATTGGTAATAAATTTAATAGTTTCTTGAGCAGCAAGTCCACCAAGAAATGCAGAAACTGAATGAAGTTCTGCTCCACCAAAACGGCAAAATTCATGAACGTAATCATCTTTTGCGAGTGGTCCACATCCCCATTCACCGAGGAGTTTCGATATGCATGACTAAAATTCAAAAAGATATGAAAAATTTTTTATTTTTATTAATTTATTATTTTTTTTGTACAATTTTTAGGGCTCGGAGGCTTTTTTTTAATTTTTAAATACGATTTATTCTGACTATTATATATGTAAAATGTGAATAATTGAGTTTTTCTAAATTGTAATATAATTTTTTCTTTAATTAAAAATACATCATAAATTTCCATGGATTAAATTCTTTGGAATTTTTTTAAATTTAATCAAAAAATTTTGGGAAAGGTCTCGAATTTTAATTACTGATATATCATATTTGTATACCCTGAACTTTTGGATAATATGATAATTATTATATTTAAATTTAAAAGATTAATTTTACCTTTAGTTTGATGATATCTGGTTCGACGTGATCGTCAAATTCTCCAGGATAGGAATTATACTCAAACTGAAACTTTTCAATTCCTCTCAGTACTACGTAATATACCAGCATGCTGTCAGAATCTTCTAATTTCTGGGCTAATAAAATCAAATTTTTAATTAATGACTTGAATATACATTTTTACATGTATATTATAATACAATAATAATTATTATAAATATAATTATTTATAGAAATGTATTTAAAATAATTATTTTATAATTTATTACCAATCGGTTTAGTCTATTTACATTAGAAGAAAAGTCGATTTTTTTGAATTTAATTTAATAAATATTTTATTTCTATTAACAATTGATAATAGATATTAATAATAAATTTTAATGATTCCTAAATAAAAAAAAATTTATTTAGATACCAAATATTCTTAAATTAAACTGAAAAAAATTTTCAACAATTTCAAAAATTTTAGATTTATGAAAAAAATATAAAAGTTACTTTTTTTTTAAAAAAAATTTCAAGTTTGATTTATATTCAAATTATTTATAAATTCAGAATTTTGTCAAAAGTTGAAGTAATTAAACTTTTTAGTCACTTTTTAAAACTTTATGGAAAATGAGAGAATTTCGAGAGATTTTAAATTTAAATTGCAGACAATAATTGAATAGATATAAAAAAAAATTTCATTATAAAATATTTTAAATAATTCAATTTTAGATGAACTTCTTTAAAATTATTTAAAATTAACTTGTCGAAAGAATTTTAAATAGAAATTAAAAAAAAAAAGAATTAAATTTTAGAAGAGCTACAGTTTAGATTTTTATAATTAAATTTCAGGAAATTTTGAATTGAAAATTTTGTAAATTTGAATTGCTGAAGACTTTTTTTAAAAAGAATTTTAAAAATAATTAAATGTTAGAAAATTTTTAATTGAATTTTTTGTAAATTATTGAATTTTCGAAGAATTTTATTAAAATTATTGAAAATCATTAATTTCGCAGACTTTTTTTTTAATCAAATTTTTAAAATAATTGAATTTTGAAAGAACTACAGTCTATACGGAAAAAAGTAATTGATATTTTGTTTTTAATTTACTAAATGAATTAATTTTTCATTTTATTTTGTAAAATAAGTCGCCATTTTTAAAGTAAGTCAAAAAAATTCGTACAATCCGAGGCTTGGCAATAAAAAAAATTCGATTACCTATCTCGTTGACGTTTATCATTTTTGGATCATACTCGTCAGCAATACAAGTTCCTCTTTCCACATGAATATCAGAAGCATGCCTACAAAATAATTTCACTTCTTTCTCTGATATCGAATCCATTGAACGTCCCAATTGTTTCAGTAAACGAAGTGTGTGTCGCAACACAGCTTCAACATCGGCAATTGCTTGTTTATGATACACTTGTTGAAGGCCAATATATTTTTCCGTATCGGCAATCATATCAGGTAAAGCGCCTTTCAATGGTAAAAGTCCACAGCCTTCATTATCCATAAAATCTCTTATTGCTTTTGCAATAATCCAAAAAGATCTACTCTAAAAACAATTAATTTTTTTTTCATCATTAACTTTACTGTTTATTTTTTTTTTACAATTACTATTTTCATTTGTAATAAAAATGAAAATAAATATTTCTTACTTTTGCAGTTAAATTAACACATTGATCATCATTTAAAATTTCCATTACTGACGAAGGCACATTAGTATGTTTTATACTTGTATTAACAGCTTTAATTGCCTCTTCAAAATTTTCTTCATCAATTGGATTATCGTGTTCATCTTTTCTTATTCCTTCTCGTATTAATTTTTTCAATATTTCTTTCTCCTTATAATTAGATGGTACATTATCGTGATCTTCTAACCATTTCAGCAGAAATTTATAGAGAATAACAACATAAGGGGTATGTGAATGATCTTTGATATCCAATTCATCGAGATTTATTGAATCAAGATATTTTTCCAATAATTCAAAAGGTTTATCCAAACGTAAATCAGTCACTTCATTGTCTGGATGACTTTCAATTACGGTATGCTCCTTTACTTGAACTCTCATATAAGCAACAAAACCTATCGATCTACATACTATTAAAGGAATATTTAAATCCCAAAGTTTTCTCGAAAGTAGAATTAGTGATCTGAAAAGAATTGTTATTTAATTAATTATAATATTATTAAAAAATAAGAAAATTAAATTTTATTAATTTTTTTTTTTTTTTTTACTTTTCAAGAAGAGAAGTCGCAACAACAACGGTGAAACTGTTGAAAAAATCGGGACTATTTTCTAGAATTTGTTCGGGACCTTCGTCTATATAATCTCCTCGTACATCGGGATTTAATTCTAGAAGCATTTGTGTTGCAATCTGTGCTCTTGATTTTCCCACACTATCAGCATCTAGAAAGAAGCTAATAAAACATTTATTTATATATGTATGATGAAATTACAATTTTTTTCTATTTTGAATTAATAATTTCTAAAAAATTGTCGAAAATAGACATTACAGGATTTATTCAATTAAAAAAAATAAATATTTTTCCATTTACAGAAACAATTATCTAATAATTCATAACAATCCGTTTTTATAGTATTTTTTTGAAATAATAAATTTTTAGTTTTATATTGACAACAAGAAAATTTTTATTTTTGACTATTTTAGAGTATATATACAGTTTCGAAAAAATTAAGATTTTCCCAAATGGAAATACTTTCACAATTTTGACGACTTTTCATCGACAATTTTTTTACAAGCTTTTTTTAAATGATTTTCTAGAGTTTTTCGCTTGAATTCAAATTTTTTTTAATTTTCATAACAAAAAGAAAGGAAAAAAATTAATTAAAAATTTATTGCTCTTTCCTCTTAAATATTAAACTACTTTTACAATTTTCAGTATTTTTCATCGTCAATTTTTTACACGCTTATTTAAAAGCCTATAAAAGTACTTTAAAATCTCTTGCATCTATATTTAAAAAAAAAAAATTCAAATATTGTTAAAAATTAAGATTTTCTTTTTTTCACCACCTTGTATGTTTTTAGGACACATAAAATAAAATAAAATAAAATAAAATAATAATAATAATATTAGTAATAAATTATTAATTTTATATAATTTTAATATCATTTTGTTATTAGTTTTTAACTATTTATATAATTATAATAATTGTTAACAATTAAATTTAAAAATGAGATATTGCTCGATTCCAAAGCAAGATTGTATAATAACTCGAAACGGTTTTCTTAGTTTCTTTGTAAATGACCTGCAGAATTTTTAAATATGTTTTTTTCACTTCCTGTAAAAACAGTGAATTGGCGCTTGTCATTTGTCTCCCTTTTGTCATTCTACCCTTCATTTTTAAATTTGTTTTAACAAATTATTATTATTATTATTATTATTATTATTATTATTATTATTATTATTAGGTATTATTATTATTATTATTTATCAAGAAACTTTTTAATAAACTTTCAAAAAACCCAAACTATTAATACGTAAATATAATAAAATTTTAAAGCTTACTGATGTTAAATTATCAAAAATTCTTTTCTAATAACTGAATTAATAACAAATATTTACGTAGTTATATAAAATAAAAAGTTAGTTTTGAAAATATTTAAGAATTAAATAATTAACTGATAAATAAATTTTAAGAATTTTTTAAATAAAAGCAGAATATGGGGGAAAAATAATTAACATATCGAAGAGTTTAAGCAGGCCTCGGATCGACTTAAAAGCCCAAAAAAGTCCTTTTAGTCGATTTATATTTAAAAAAAAGTCGAAAAAGTCGATTTTTTTTTATTTTAACAAAAATATTTTACAAATTTTTAAATAAAATTATTTTTTAAATAATAATAATTTTAGAAGGTTTAAAGTTAAAATTTCTAGAAATAATTGAATTTCAAAAGATTTTGTTAATTTTCAGACAACAATTAAATTTTACAGAACTAAAAATAATTTATCAAACAATTTTAGATAACATTTTTTAAATGTAATTGAATTTTTAAAGATTTACAATTGAGATTTTTATAATTAATTGAACTTCAAGTGATTTTTAATTAAATTTTTTTTGATGATTTCACTAAAAAATTTTTTAGAAATTACGGATAAAAATACAACAATTTGAGAACCATTTTTAATTGCAAAATGGTTTCAGAAAGTTGAATATTTAAAGAATATTATAAAAATAGTTAAAAATAATTGAATTTTCGGAGAGTTATAATTGAAATTATTAAATTTCAAAAATTTTTCGATGGAAAATTTTCGAAGCTTTTTATTTCAAATTTTTGAAAATAATTGAATTTCAATAGAAATTTTAAACAATATTTCAATTTTAGTTGATTTTTGATTGAAAATTTTTATAATAATTAATTTTGAATTGAAATTTTTGAGAATAATTGAATTTTAGTTGATTTTGAATTGAAAATTTGGAAAATAATTGAATTTTATTTGATTTTGAATTGAAAATTTGGAAAATAATTAAATTTTAAAAGATTTTGAATTGAAAATTTTAGGAGTAATTGAATTTTATTTGATTTTGAATTGAAATTTTGGAAAATAATTGAATTTTAATTGAAATTTTGGATAATAATTTAATTTTAGTTGATTTTGAATTGAAAATTTGAAAAATAATTGAATTTTATTTGATTTTGAATTGAAATTCTGAATAATAATTTAATTTTAGTTGATTTTCAATTGAAAATTTGGAAAATAATTGAATTTTATTTGATTTTGAATTGAAATTTTGGAAAATAATTGACTTTCAATTGAAATTTTGGATAATAATTTAATTTTAGTTGATTTTGAATTGAAAATTTGAAAAATAATTGAATTTTATTTGATTTTGAATTGAAAATTTGGAAAATAATTGAATTTTATTTGATTTTGAATTGAAATTTTGGAAAATAATTGAATTTTAATTGAAATTTTGGATAATAATTTAATTTTAGTTGATTTTGAATTGAAAATTTGAAAAATAATTGAATTTTATTTGATTTTAAATTGAAATTTTGAATAATAATTTAATTTTAGTTGATTTTCAATTGAAAATTTGGAAAATAATTGAATTTTATTTGATTTTGAATTGAAATTTTGGAAAATAATTGAATTTCAATTGAAATTTTGGATAATTTAATTTTAGTTGATTTTTGATTGAAAATTTTGAATTAAAAATTAGAATAATAATTGAATTTTAGTTGATTTTGAATTGAAAATTTTGAAAAGAATTGAGTTTTAGTTGATTTTGAATTAAAATTTTTTAAAATAATTGAATTTTATTTGATTTTGAATTAAAAATTTTTGGTAATTTTATTTGAAATTATTAAATTTGTGATGAATTTTATTAAAAATATTAAAAATAATTAATTCAGTGAAGAGTTTTAGTTAAAAATTTGTTAAATAATTGAAATTTTACAAATTTCCAAAAAGAAAAGAATTTATGTGAAACATTTTAAATTTTTGAATAGTTTATAATTATATGATAACCAGAACTAATTATATGGGTAACTCGGTAATTCATAGACTTATTCGTGAGGCAAATCAATATAACAATGATTTAAATTTTTTCGGAGTTTCGTTCAATGTATTTTCTAAAGAATTACGCAATCTAGTATTTAGCGACGACAATAATATTAATGCGGCCAATTGATTATTGTTATTTCCTTTTATGTTCATTAGTACTTTGTACGATTGGGCAAAGTTGTTATTGCCCGTTTGTATCAAATAAATAAATAAATAAATAATAAATTTATTTGTAAAAAAAGAAAAAATTCCCAAAAAAATGAGAATATAAGAAAAAAAATGGTTTTAAAAAAACGATTTTTTTAAATTATAGAAAATAAAAAATTTAAAAAAACAAAAAGGCAAAGAAATTGTAAAAAATAGAGAATTTTAAGAATTCCTGAAAAAAATTAGAAATTTAAAAAAAAAGAAATTATGCGGGAAAAAAACTATAATTTGAAGGTAAAGATACTGCGTGATACCTGTGGAAAATGATAAATATTTTTCTTACTTCGATCCAACATCTTCATCGGTAATTTTTTTACCATCAACAATTGTGAATGCTCCAATTCCTGGTAAAACCAAGGATTTTAAAATTTCTGTTCCCAAACCAGTGGCATTTATTAAACAAATATGAGCTGCTTCTAAAGAAGCCTGACCATGATCACCCCATAACCTAAAAATCATAATTTGTCAAATACATCGAAAAATGTACAATCTATATGAAGAAAAAAAGATAATTTTCCAAAAAAAAATATAAAGACGTTAGTGAATTAAGAAAATTTAGTAATATCAAATAATAAAATATTTTTTTAACCAACAAAATTAAAAGTCTTTATTTATCGACTAAATTATATCCAATACCTCAATTGTCTATCATATTTTCTGCTTCGTTCAGATTGCTCTGGTGATTTTGGAGCTGGCGATGCCATTACAAATGAAAAAATAGTTTATTTACAAGTATTATAAAGTAATTATTAACATTTGCGTTGATACCGGTTATGTATATATATAGCATATATATAAATTCACAGGTTGGAAAATAATGTCAAAAAATTGTGAAAGAAATGCTTCAAAAAAACTCCACTAGGCGGAGCAAAATTTTAATAATTATTTTTTTGGTAAATAATAGTTTATAAATAAATATTCACTTATAAGGTTAACAAGATCGACAGAATAATATAAAATCAGAAAAAATTGTATAATACTAGTTCTCGGAAGTGCTCTGTGTGAAGTTGGCTATTAATGAAAAAATAATCAAAGCTTTTTAAATTTGCCGCCACTTTTTCATCGGATGATAATTGCAATTTTTTTACTTTTTTTTTAGTAGAAATAGATAGACAAATTTTTTAAATAATAAAGCACGTGGTGATAGAAATATGATAAACATTTATTGAAATAAAACAGTTTGAAGAAAATCTATATTAATACAAGATGACTACAGCGCTTCTTGAAAATAATTACAACTATTTTTCACTGTTACGTTTATTTACGCTTGTTAAAATCTGAAAATTAATCACAAAAATTATAAATAACAGTGAATTATATTTAATATATATAAAATATTACTGATAAATAAGTAAATAGTGTACAAAATTTTGATATAAATTTTGTTATTTATGTGATATTTTTCTCATATTTTTTTTTTATATAAAATACCTACCCAACGCTGGCAGTGGTCACTCTCTTCTTTTGCAGAATATAAAATTTCAATTAATTCCAATATGGCAACCGTGGTGAAGTCTGCATGAGCCCGTGTCTCAAAAAAAATGTTTTGAATTTGTTGAGTCAGACGTGACGAGTCGTCGACAATTTCATTCTAGGTCAGTAATGTGAATTCTAACCTTTATTATTGTGTATTATCTCGCGTTCGTGTTAAAATACGAGTTGAAATTAAAATCGCGTTTTTCCCTGTAAAAAAAAAAATTATAGGGACATTTATTTGGTAAAGGTAAGCAAAATCGTTTTGTGATTAGCTCGTTTTTCTTTTTTTATTTGTGAGGTCAAGTTATTGAGTTTTTTTTTCAAAAATCATGCGCAAAAAAAAAAAAGGGACATGCAATTTCGATTCTGTGCGGATTGAAAAAAAAGCGTGTTTGCAAATTTTCATGCCTTTTAACCGCAACGTTATCGTACTCGCGACCCTGCGTAAATTATTGTTTTATTGTGAGTATGAATACCATGTGTCTGAAGTGTTTTGATATGTGAATGTGACGATGAATGTTATGATTGTGTGTGTGTGAATGTACGTCAAAGTTGTGAATTGATGAGAGTGTTGGAATATTTTTTTTTTTTTGTGTGTGCAAAATTTGAGAAAGTGAGATGAAGAGAAGAAGGCCCATGCTGCTTGTTAACTATCAGCGCCGTACCCGGGAAGTCTGCCGGGAAGTTGGAAATGTCAAGATTTGTTAGCAACGAAAAGAAAACAATCTGCCCTTTCCCCACCATCGTGAGGACAAGAATAGTCGGTAAGTGTCATTTCTAATTAAATACACCTCTCTGTCTATTCAAACTTTTTTTTTTTTATTTATCGTTTTCTATTGTCTCACACACTCTAAAGTCAAGTTACTCTCAGAAATGTTTGCAATAAGGAATTCTCAAGTATATAGTGTGTTTTGTTTATTTCTTTTCCCCATTTAGTTTATATCAGACAGATAAGAAAATAATTATTCAAATTTTCTAAATGATAAAAATCACATTAAATTCGACATTTTAACAAAAAGAATTATTTTGAAATTTTATTTATATAGAAAAAATTGAGCTTTAAAAAAAAAAAAAAAACTATTAATACTGTTATTAACAAAGCCAAGTTTCTTGTAATGTAGAAAATTATCACATAAAGATTCTTGTAGGCTTTTCTCTAATCTTGGCATCGTTATTCTAATTTTGTCACTGAACCAAGAGAGAAAAAGAATTATTACATTCCTAGTTGGTACAATTATCTAAATGGAGATTTATAATGCTTTTAACAGGTAAATCTAGAGGAATAAATTAAAATCCTTTATTATTTCATTTAATTAAATTGTATAATATTTCAAAAAATGTTAATTAAGATTAAAATCTACAAAAAATCCTTTTCTTTTTTTTTTTTTAATGAAAAATCTATCATTTAGAAATAAAAAAAAATATGAATCTCGTTAAAATGAGTTTTTTTCCATTTCATTGTCGTAATAAAAAAAATTGCAAAGCACTTTCTAAAAAGAACGTTACGAAAATTTCATATTATTACCTCCCCCGGTGAGAAAAAAAAGGGAGATCAAATTCAGGAAAGAAAATAACACAGTAAAACTTTCACGAAGGAGAAATACCCTAAAATGATTTATTGATAAAAAAGAAAAGAAAAAGAAGAAATAACTGTTTGGAGAATTTATCGACTTTTATCCTTGTGTGAACCTTTGGAGACTTTTATTTTTAGGGATTACAAGCAATTTTCCATAACTCTACTTTTCTTATCAACCATGGAAATTGCTAAGGAAACCCATTTCTTAGAATGTTACTACTGGGAATAGAATATGAACTTTAACATAAGAAAAAAAAAATAGCAAACTTAAAAACTATTATGCAAACTTCTTCATTGGCAAAGTATCAGCCTATAATTTTTATTTAATCATTTCTTTTTTTTTTTTTTTTGTTTTTCATATTAGGAATATTATTGTGTAAGTTTATTTTTGCTTCACGTGCGTAGGCATATCGCACAAATTAGTATCAAATCTTCCGGTTGGGTTTTAAATGACGATGCGAGGCTTTCGTTATGTCACGCATACTTTACAATCAAACCTGCATGATAAATAAATTGTTCAGCTGACTGATATTAGGTACAGGTCTACACACAAATATCTAGCATTTTTTTTTTGAAATTTTTTTTCTAAATTAATTGGGTAATAAATGGAGCTAACTAAAAAAAATTGTTATTGAATTATTATTATTATTATTATTATTATTATTATTATTATTATTATTATTATTATTATTACTATTCTTATTACTATTACTATTATTATTACTATTATTATATTAAGAGATTTGATAACTTTACTATGCCTTCTCTCTAAATGTGAATTTTTGTAAAAATTATTATTTGTATAATTCTTACTAATTATTATTATTAAAAAACTTACTAATTATTATTTGTAAAATTCTTACTAATTGTTATTTGTAAAATTCTTACTAATTATTATTATTAAAAAAAATTACTAATTAGTAATAGTAAAAAATTTACTAATTGTTTTTAGTAAAAAACTTACTAATTATTATTTGTAAAATTCTTACTAATTATTATTATTAAAAAAATTACTAATTATTATGTATTAGTAAAAAACTTAGTAATTATTATTTGTAAAATTCGCACTAATTATTATTATTAAAGAACTCACTAATTATTATTTGTAAAATTCTTACTAATTATTATTATTAAAAAACTTACTAATTATTATTAGTAAAATTCTTACTAATTATTATTATTAAAAAACTTACTTATTATTATTATTAGTAAAAACTTACTAATTATTATTGTTAAAAAACTTACTAATTATTAATAGTAAAAAATTTACTAATTATTATTAGTAAAAAACTTACTAATTATTATTTGTAAAATTCTTACTAATTATTATTATTAAAAAACTTACTAATTGTTATTAGTAAAAAACTTATTAATTATTATTATTAAAAAACTTACTAATTATTATTATTAAAAAACTTACTAATTATTAATAGTAAAAAATTTACTAATTATTATTAGTAAAAGAAACTTACTAATTATTATTAGTAAAAAAAACTTACTAATTGTTATTAGTAAAAAACTTACTAATTATTATTTGTAAAATTCTTACTAATTATTATTATTAAAAAACTTACTAATTGTTATTAGTAAAAAACTTATTAATTATTATTATTAAAAAACTTACTAATTATTATTATTAAAAAACTTACTAATTATTAATAGTAAAAAATTTACTAATTATTATTAGTAAAAGAAACTTACTAATTATTATTAGTAAAAAAAACTTACTAATTGTTATTAGTAAAAAACTTACTAATTATTATTATAATTAATATAATTTATTCAAATAGTCAGTTACTTGACTGTTATATCAAATAAATATTTACTTGAACCAAAGAATTTTTCATTGAATTAAATAAATTGTATATGAACCAATTATTTCTGTATTTGAAACAAATATGATTTTATTTTACATTATTTTATTAACAAGCACAAATATAATTTTGTTGACTCAAATATTAATTATTTGATACATATATACAAATAAATATTTATTTTATAATAGTTAAGTAACCGATTATTTGAATCAAATAAAATTTTTTTTCAGTGTAAAATTATTTAAATAAATAAATGTGACACGCACTGAAGAAAGAGACCTTAGAAGCAAAAAAAAATATAGGTTATGTTTTAAAAAGTAAAATTGAAAATACACAGAGTATCAATTCTCAATAGAAATAATTAATATTTAAGTCTTCATTAAATTTAAAATATTTAATAAAAACTTATTTTAATTTTACAAAAGTAAAAAGAAACTTTTAACCCTTTAACGCCCAAATGAGCTGATTCTCGACTTGAATTTCAACCTTGTAACATTAACAGAAAATTTTTTTTTAAAATATCAGACAAATCATTTCCGACTGCTTTTTTTATCGCTCTTTCAAATTGCGTGGTCAAAATTATCAAAAAATAATATTTAACTCCCCATTTTTTCAAAAAAAAACCCAAAAAATACAAGTTTTTGTCATGTAAAATTTGTTTCAATTGCAATTCTTTCTAGTATATCATTTTTTGCTTATTCTTTAAGGTATAAAAAACGTGCTCCCGATAGCTGTACTTAAAAAATATGCATTGCAACTTTTTATTTTTCTTTATTTTTAACTCAAAATGGCGCCTGAAAGTCAAAAATTTTTCAAAAATAATGTTTGTAAATTTCTTTTTTTCAAATTCGATTAAATTCGTCTGAAATTTGTTACTCGGGGGTTTTCAGCGTCGCTGATTACGAATCCGATGTCAGTTTTCAAAAATTCAATATGGCGGAAGATTTTTGCAAAAAATTATCGGATTCTCTTAAAACTCGTCACTTGGGGGTTTTCAGGGTCGCTGATTACGAATATGCACTTGGTTTTCAAAAATTCAAAATGGAGGACGAATCCGATAATTTTTTGCAAAAGTCGTCCGCCATATTGGATCCGCCATTTTGAATTTTTGAAAACCAAGTGCATATTCGTAATCAGCGACCCCGAAAACCCCCAAGTGAAAAAAAGGGGGTTAAATATTATTTTTTGATAATTTTGACCACGCAATTTGAAAGAGCGTTGAAATAATTCAACTAACTTGGAAATAATAAAATGTTTTGTAAAAATTTTTGTTTTTCAAAATGCGTTGTTCTTGATATAGAAAATAAAATAAAATAAATTTTGATGTGGACGTTAATGAAATATCGATATTAAAAAAATATTACAACTTGATTATACTTGTTAATAAATATTTATAAAAAAATTGATTATTTTTAATATTATTATATTATTATTTATTACATTATTATTTTTAATATTTTATATTTTATAAATTCAAATAATATTAATTTTCAATGTAAATGATTTTGTTATCTAAACTATTGATTTTTTTTACAGTATTATTGTTCTATTCTTGCAAAAAGTAATAATATTTTTTTTCTCAATATTATTTTATACATTTCTTTCATTTGTTATTGTCGGTTCAAAAAAGATAGGTGTATTAAACACCCTTAACCTTCATATATATATATATATATATATATATATATATATATATATATATATATATATGTAACTTTGCTCAACGAGTAGTCGCGAATAGCTTTTTACACTCAATATTTTCATGAAACATCTCTTCATATAATATATAAATCCACCTTTATGTGATCGTAGGTTAATTATATCGGCTACAAAGGAGCGATCTTCTAGAAATAT